GTTTCTTACACAGGTCCATCAGAGAGAGAGAGAGAGAGAGAGAGAGAGAGAGAGAGAGAGAGAGAGAGAGAGGCAGAGGAGGGTGGTGCTAGCTGCACTCCTACTGGTAAAAACCTCTTGTCTATATACCACCTAGATCTAGAGCCTCAATCCATGATGAAAATGTGTCGTGACACAAAAAGATATTAGAAAAGCAATAAGTCTGAATATTTAGCTGTTTTGGGAAAAATGTATTCTAATTGACTGCAATTTTGGTTGCATAACTCAGTGACATTATTTCCTGGAAAACACCAGTGAAGCTGTTTCGTGTTTCATTCCTCTCACTAACTAGAACCATTGGTAGATGAATGAGGTCATCAGGTAGACGACTTAGGTGTCTGGTTCTTATCCATAGACATATAACTAGTAACAACTTTCTGAATGCGGAATATGTATTTTCAACAAAGTAACAGAGAGCAAAAGGAAATGGCAGGGCATATGTGTGTTTGTGTGTGTATTTTTGTGTGCGTGTGTGTGTGCGTGAGAGAGAGAGAGAAGGGAGGGATGAGGGAAGTTGGGGAGAGAGAGAGGAGGAGGAGGAGATGGAAAAAGAGATTCAAAGTGTTAAAATGAGTTTTAAGGCTTTAGAACATTGCACTGTGCATTGTTCCAGATAAACATACCTCTGTGAAAAAAAATGGAATTGTTTTCACAGTTGCGGTTAGTTGAAGGTTAATCTTGCGAGCAGTTGAGTGATTGAGATTCAAGGGAAAAAAAAACTAGAGAAAATTGAGGAACAGGCGCCAAAACTTGATTTTACAGCCTCAACCATCATTACCTCGGAACATTTAAGAGAATGGGTTTGGTCTATTTTCAAGTAAATTGATATTAGTTTTGCTGTTTGTATATTCAAGCATTGTTTATTTTTAGAATTATTTTCTAGTTATTTATTTTTTAGACAATGTGAGAAGTACATATGATCTGGTGCAACCCTCTAAATTTTTTTAAAAAACACATAAGTTTTAGATTGATTGAGGTTTCTTTGCAAACAACTATTTCTTAAATATATGGTGATGTATTTCTTCCTCTCCTACTCCCTCTTTCCCTTTCATTCTTCCTCTCCTACTCCCTCTTTCTCTTTCATTCTTCCTCTCCTACTCCCTCTTTCCTTTTCATTCTTCCTCTCCTACTCCCTCTTTCCCTTTCATTCTAAGGGTGGATTCAGAACAAGTTGATCCATGGACTAACAGATCCGCGGACCAAATATGGCCGAGCCACTTGAAAGCTTGTTGCATCATCTCCTAAAAGACACTGAAAAGATTTTACTGCTGGTATTACGCAGTGAGCGTTCAAGTGGGTCGGCCATGTTTGATCTGATGATCTGTTAGTTTGTGGATCATCTTTGGTTGTGAGTGCCGCCTTTGCTCTCTGTCTTGCTTATTGTCTTCCCTACTAAAAAATTCCAACAACATCAAAAGAACCTCGAAAACAATTAAATGGATAGCTTTTTGTCAGGTACTGTGTAGGCTGACAAAGTTTATACGATGGCAACGAGCAATTGACATGTCGAGCTTGCTAATAGGTCTCATGCAGGCAAATTGTGCTTTGTTTTTTTAATGGGCCTTTGCATTTATACTTCCCCACTTAATCGATTAATATGGTGAGGTAAGGCTGTGCAAACATGTGACTTGAGACTCTAATGATAAACCTCATCAATTCAGCGGGTGACTTCATACCTCACTACACCAGTGAGGATCAAATTGGTTTGCCTGATAATACACCTTTCTGAGGTGGAAAAAAAAAGAAGCTAAATAGTATGCTGATAAATTAGTTTAAATATTCTTCAGTGTTTATTTTTAGACTCATATTTTCATTGTGTGAGTGTATCTTCAGTATGGCAGAAGACTGATTAGCAGAGAACTTGTGTATCTTTTGGTGTTTGATTAAAAAGCACAGGGAATATAATTGGTGTAAATACTTTATGAAACAGATTATGATTGTGATTTGTAAGCCACCTAATATGTATATCATGATTATGCTTGAATGTGTGTGTGTGTCTGTGTGCACGCGGGCGTGTATGTGTGTGGCACTTTACACAAAGGTCTTGCACTTTGTTAAAAGTATGAAATGGTCAAACTGAGCTTTTTGTTGTTGTTTTGCCTGGAAGTTAAGCAGAATGAAATAAAAAGAGCTGATGATTATGTAGAAAAAAGTAAGCTATTGGTTATAAAAAGAGCTAAATTAAGAAGGGGAAAAAACAGGTCTTTTCAGGGCCAATTTAAAACCTCTTAAGGCTATTTAAAATTATGAGGTGTTTGTAGGTAAGAGACAGGACAAAGAACCAATATTTCCTTAAGCATGGAGTTAGGAAGAAAAGATGAATAAATGTTTATTATTCTCATCACTTAATTGTGGATAAAAAATGATTTGTAAGACATTTATAACAGTTTTTAAAAAATTGTTTCTACTAAAAAAGGCATGCTTATACACAGAACAACGAGAAGTTATTGTTGGCTGCCATCTAAAAGATGCCATTAACCTTATTTAATCTGATGCAATGGGAGGAAAAAGCAGGAAATTTATTGAATTAAAATGAAGTGAGAAGTGGTTTTAATTGAGAGAAATTCAAACTTATCAGCTCTTGGTAACAAGGAACAAGCACATTGCACGTCCCAGTATTGAAAGGTCAACCATGTGCCTTATGGCATGGAGAATATGGGAACTGGTGCAGTGCTAGCTATCAGAACAAGGCCGCAATGTATTAAGAGCCTGTTAGTGAAATGGACTCCAGACGGGCGTAATATAATCCTTGCTGTAAGCCACCAGGCCGCCAATTGGAGGCACCCTACCTTAAATTGTCTGTTTTGTAATCCAGACACGCTATTACACGAGGACCTAAAACCAGAGGTTAAAAGAGTCACTGTAACTGTTTGTTTGCCCTCATGATAGAATTTGGTGGTCAAAGCAGCCCACAGGTTTCATTTTCACCTGGAACCGCTTGTACTCTCTATTAGGGTGGAATTTAACTGGAGTTGCCAATATTCTGGGCTTGCCAGTCTTTTTTTCCAAATGGGTTCCCGCTGCTAGCCCAGACTCCTGACAGCTTGGCCTAAATATTTGGGTACAAAGGCTTTGGGAAGTGGTTGGCAGTTGTGGAACGTGTTGAAGTGAAATAGTAGCGCGGGCACAAAAGGAGGACAGAACGGAATAGCGCTGGATTTCTTGTACAGTCCTTTTGACAGAAACCCCTCTATGGGTTTGACCTCTCTACACGACCAAGGAAGCATGAAGTTTGAGGGATTCTCTCCGGATTGCTTCTGGTTTGGTAGGTTGAATTAGAACTGTCTGTAGGGTTTTTTCTCCCCTTCCATTTTTTTTTTTTTTTTTACTGAATCATAGGCAGTTCAAGATGGTTGGGAAACAAAGCACTGAAAAAATGAGTCACCACATATGGAGGGCTGGTTCGGACTCCTGGTGTGCTTTACAAGATGGAAGGTTGGGGAACTCGATTTTTTTGTTTGTTGTTGTTGTTGTTGTTGTTGTTGTTACATAATTTGGCCTTAGAAAGGTGATTTTTTTCAAAATTGGAATCAACCAAAGAAGGCAGAAGGAAATTTACTAGTATGTTGACCAAAGATTGTATGATCCAAGATGGCCGAAATAAATGTCTCGCATAATTTATTTCAATTAATTAAAGGTAACAAAGATATAATTACATTTTTTTTGCATATTTTATATTTTAGAATTTAAAATCTTGAATAGTTATTTTACTTTTGCTGTTGTTGTATATGTTTTTTGTTTTTATTTAATTATTGGTTTTATTTTTTAATGCAAATTTCATCATGTGTAAGCTTCAGATATCATGTTTTCACATATATATGTTTACAAACAACACACATATTTCTAACTTATCATCGTATTCCCGAAAAACATACTAAAGCCACAAAAAGTGGTGTTCCCCTTAAAGACTTCAAATGCCTTGGTAAAGAAAAAGTTTGAAGAACAGTATTGAGGCAGAAAAAAACTGCCAAAAAGATGTAATCTTACGAGAAACTCGTGAGGTTTGCAGCATTGCAAAAGACATTAAATTGGTGAAAAAAGTTAAGATTAAGAAAAGATGACTGACAGGCATTGACAATAATGGTGGTCCATCGTTCTTTTACCCTCATCGCAATTTCTGCAGCTCTGTCTTTCTTGATGTCTTTCTTGATGTGTCTCCTGTTTGTGAGACCCTACACACACACACCCGCACGCGCACACACACTTCTCTGAGGTTTTTGAAAAGAAATTATTGTTTTAACTTTGTCCATAATTACTGTGATTTTCACTCAGGTTGAAAGAGAATTTTGAAAACCGTTTTAGAAACGAATGCTTTGAATGAGTGAAAGAAGTTTAAGTGACAAAATATCTAAACATGAGCAGAACGTTAACCTTAAGTATATTACATTTAATGTATCTCACCAGTCAATTGCCCATATGTGTTTAAACAAAAATACATAATTTACCTTCATTCTCTAATTTTTTTTTTCAGTCTTTGTCAAATCATCATTTTTTTTTCACCTTTGAAAAAGCCACCATAATTGTGTCGTTCAGTGTACAACTCTTCAGCCTTTTTTATCTCCAATTGTTTCGGGACAAGACCCGCATGCATGGAGCTTGATCAACTATTAACATTAGTGAAGCTTGAAGCTTCATTTATTTAATATTGTAGTGGAAAAAAGAGGTTATATTTTTACCATAGTGGAAAAATACCTTATAATATGTTTTAAACTGAAAAAGCATGGGTATTCAGAGCCTGTATAGCATATGAAGGTGAAATAGAAAAAAAGGGATCTCAGCCAATCTATAAAACTGCAAGGTTTGAAATTTTCAACACATTTTACCAACTTTTATATTTTATTCACTGAAATATATCATTCGCCTGAACAGTTTCTGTTATTGGAAGCAAAAATGACAGAAGTTGGTCTTGGAGGTCAGCTCTCTCATATAAATCACAATTTGCCTCATTCCATCTTTTCCAGAAAACCTAAATCAAGACATTTTGTTCCCTCCTCGACAATTCACCAGTGGTGTTGCTAGTGTCCCCCAGACGCCATCACCGGAGTCCCACCATTCGTCGCCCATTAACAAGAGCCCCACAACACCGCTCTCTCCGAATCAACTTGTCGTTCCACAACCGGTGAAACCAAAAGCTGCCAGCGGGAAGAGTTACCAGTGTAAAATGTGTGAGCAGGTAGGATTGCATGGTTTTCTTCGTGAACTTTTTTCATTTCATGCAAATACTTTAGTGTGTGTGTGTGTGCGTGCGTGCGTGCGTGTGTGTGTCTGTTTCAGAGAGAGAGAGAAAGAAATAACACGTACGTGTGTCTGGATGTTGCAGAACTTCAAATTGAAATGCGTTTTACTTGTCCAATCTCACAAAGAATTTTTAATATTTTCCATAATAATTTATGTTACAAGAAATCACATGATTATGAACTTGAAAACTCTAGCTTGAGCGAACTTGGTAACAGAATTTGTTTGAATAATTTATTATTATTTTCCTGTATTATTTTCCTCCATGGTCTCATATTTAAAAGAAATGGAAAAAAATTTGTACTCCTATGTCATTGTGACCCCAATCTAAATGTGGCATGGTGGGCGTTTGGTCTTTGTGATCGCTGCCCCCCCCCCCCCCCCCCCCCTTTCAACTAATTGCCAATAACCAAATGAATAGCAAATTTGATTCATTAAAATTCATGCAAAGTTGAAGGATGCATACTTTTGATTTTCTTATTTCTACAGTCTCATTAACTTGACCTACCTTTCAAAATGCAATATTCATATATTGTGGCTTTCTTCTCATATATATTTCAAAAAGAAAACCCTTTTGCTGTGAGGCATAGTTTGATTAACAGTAGGTCACCTTAATCATAAATGAATGCAATTTTCCATGGAGGTCTGATTGGTTGTCTGTATAGCCATCACCTGCGTCTGTCGCCATAGTAGGTGGCGTCAGCACCACCTTGCACTTTCACAGACAGCACAATAAGTCAAAAACTGTTAGACTTTTTGTCTTCAAACTTACAGAACCGATGAATATTAGTAAAATATAGGTTGAGATGCAATCTCAGCATGATCTGACCATTTTCTGCAGATCATTTAGTCCCAGGATTAAACTGTTTTAAGCAGGGTCTAAAATTGCATCGAAAATAACAGAATAACCAATATGTGCATCATCATTTGCTTTTATGTTGGTACATTTTACAGCTTTGCTGCTTGTTGATCTACCAAATCAAGCAGCCCCCCCCCCCCATACACACACACACACACACACACACACACACACACACACACACACACAGAAATAAATCCATAAAAAAGAACCCTGTGACCCTTCTGGTAGTGTTAAATTAGTATTAGGGTGTAGGCACTCCTACCATGGCTCCCAATGGACTGGTACCATATGGGGCCCAGAGACTGTTTTTTAACCCGTCCTTTGCCCGTTCTGTAAGGAGAAATCTCCCTTCAATGGCCCCAGAAGCTGGCCTGTTGCCCAAAACCTTTATCGAATCCTAAGGTCAGAAAGGCAATGAACATGTGGCTGGCGGCAAATGCAATCTCTCGCCCCATGTATTGTGTTTGCATTGGTAATTGAAGAATTATGGAGGAAGGATGTTACTGGGGACCACTGGAAAAGGTTGAACTAGTAGTCCCTGGTTGCTGTTTTATAGTACGGGGTAAACAGTTGCTACCTTTATCCAAGTCCTATTACAATACCAACCGAGGGGGGTACAAACAAACCAATATCCATTATGATGGTTTGGGACTTAGATGAACAAATACACCAATTTTCATCAAAATCCAAGAGGCTCATGTGCCACCCTATTCTTAACCTCACAGAGACTGGTACAGAGCTCCTTTGCTCTCCCTCCTAGGTCTAGGCCTGAAAGGTCATGTTTTGTCTTGTACCCTATAATTGTACTCTATATGTATTGAGGAAGAGTATTTATTGGGCAAGGATAAAAAAAATAGCAGAGAAAATGGTATCTCTCAAATTTGTAGTGTGGTCAGAACCTTGCCAAGTAAATGGAGATTGTATTGAACTTGAACTAGAGCTCTGCTGTTTTTGTTAGTTCACGAAAATTATGATTTAGTAATAAGGATGATAACTCTTCGTACTAGATTCAAAATTTCAAAATAAAAACATGGCAAACCTTTATAGGTGACTACCCTGGCCTGCATAATAATCTTTTAAGAGATATTACAAAAAATGGAAAAAAAAATAAAAAAAAGAATAAATAAAATAAAATAAAATAAAAACAATTGACTAGCTATGAATGTCAGATCAGATTCATTAACCGTTGGAAAGTAGGAGAAAATTGTTGTTTCCCTTGGAAATAACACTTTTCCTGCCAAAATGAAGAGTAGTCATCACTTCAACTTTGCAATAAACACCCAAAGTTTAGACGAGGTCAGCTTGAACTGCATAGGACAATTCATAATGAGTCAAGTTGTTAGGTGTAATGTTATATCAAAATGCAGACCTTTCCATAAGACTTAATTAACCATATCATGGAGTTTTGTATGAAATAAAAAAGAAAAGAGGAAATCATGGTATGGATGATTAGTGAATGTGTCTGTTGTAACTCTTTGTTGCTTCAGCCAGCATCTTCAACCAACCCACATGCGTCCCTTGTCTGTTTTTGTTGAAAAATGAATAAAACACGCTAGTAGGTATTTTAATTTTAGTCAGCTGGTTATGACATTTATGCAGTTCTTTTATTTGTCAGTCTTTTTAGGGCTTGGTATTATGTTTCTTTACTTTGATTTGATTTGATATGATTAAACTTTTCTTTCTGTTGGTATTTTATTATTTCGGTTATTCTCTTTCTCTTTTCTCTCTCTTTAATAAAACGCCAGGAGACATTAGGTAGCACGGTTTAATATATCAACTCACTTTGATTATTAGCAATTATATACTATATTAACTAAGAGGGGAAAGAGAGAGAGAGAACATAAAACCTAATTCTAGATTATTGATAAAGCCCTACCCTGTTTAATCTAAACAGGTCGTCCTTGTATTATTTACACAAATAAATATCTGTGAAGTCTTTTCCATACTGTATTTAAATATTAATGTAGAAACCACAAAAAGTATAACAGGTCATCCCAATGCCACACAAATCCAAAACCATTCACCCTTCAAAATTTTAAGTCAGACTGATGATGGATAGGACCTAAACCAGTAGAGAAATCAAATCCATTCATCCTTCATTGCCTGATGGTAAATAAATGGAGAACCTAAAAAAAATTTTCATTTATTGATATCTGTGTCCCATTGCCCTGATATATTATTTATGAAGGGAATGTAGGGATGGAAGCAGGGAGTTGAGTCAAGTCACATATGTGGTCTACGTGGGAGACATTGGGTTGGAGTGCAGAGATGTGTGCAAAGTTCCCCTTCATTTTCTGAGCATGGCACTACTGGTTTACTTCAAAATATTCATCCAAATTTTGACTTATTATCCTTTATTCAACACTTGACTTTATGTGGTGGTGTTTGAGAGAAGAAACCATTTGTTTCTATTTTTCTGTTGTTGTTGTTATTATTATATTCACATATATTTTATTACATTTCTTGTTTTTATGTCACTAAACCCTTTTATATTGAAAAAAAAAAGGAAAATGATGAAAAAGGAACATTTCTTTGAGATCAAATCGCATGGTGGATTGTTGCCATGACAACAGTGGAAAAGTAAGTTACCGTCGTTCTTCACCCTTGCAGCTCCATGGAAACGCAATGTCGACCCTGTGTAACAGAAGATATTATAATTGAAGGCGGTGCTGTGGTCATGTGACTGTCAGGTGTTTGCCATGTGTTACCGTGTCGACCTCCCGTTACCATGGAGCGCGCAAGATGTGTGGAGATCTCAGCCAGTCAGTGATTCTAATGTCTTAAGGTCTGGTTAACTTCAGATGCCCATGAAAGCCGAGGAAAATGATCCAGAAGAAGAAAGTGAAGATCAACAGAGACGTTTGGCTTATTTTCAGATCCAGACGGAATGTGGGATCACTGAGGCCTGTTGCGGAGAAATGCTCTTTTTGTAAATGTGAACAAACACTGCACTGTATTTGAATGCCCCTGTCTTTGTTCTATTGCAGATGTTTGAGTCCAAATCCGACATGCTCGTTCATTGTCAACGAGTGCATAAGCAGGACCCCAAGCCTTACAAATGTAACACCTGTGGCAAGAGCTTCGCAAACTCTTCGTATTTGTCGCAACACAACAGGATCCACGCTGGGATCAAGCCGTACAAGTGCGAGATCTGCGAACGCCGCTTCACGCAGTTGTCCCATCTCCAGCAGCACATGCGTACCCACACAGGCGAGAAACCGTACAAGTGCTCGCACAATGGCTGCGGGAAGGCTTTCACCCAGCTGGCCAACCTACAACAGCATTCACGCTCGCACATGACCGACAAGCCTTTTAGGTGCAACTCGTGCTACAAGTGTTACTCATCGGAAGAAGAGTTGCGGGAGCACATCCCCAAGCATTCGGACACGAAGCACCTGAAGACGCACATTTGCAACGTCTGTGGAAAGTCGTACACACAGGAAACTTATCTGGCACGTCACATGACCAAGCACGCCCTTAACAATAACAACAACAATAACAACGGCCCCAACAAGCCGGCGCCAACGCCCAACAATGATCTAAGCCCCGTGGAAAGCAACCACAGCAGTAGCAATACGAAAACTTACACTAATCACCAGTTTGGCAACAACAACCACCACGAGATCAAGCAGAATGGGGACCTGAGCGGGGGAAAGTACAGTATGCATCATAATAACAACAATAACAACCCATACGACAAGCTGAGGCTGCAGATCAAGCAAGAAGACCTCAGCTGTCTCTATCCCGGTGAGGACCTGCGCAAGCCAAAGATGTCCAACTATGACATGAACATGCTGGACACCATGTGTATGTACCTGGGCTCCAAGTCCCCTCCCGGGCAGCGTAGTCCACCAACCCCCAACCATCATGGCGGGTCTCCCCCAGCGGCAGTGACCAAGACGTCGTCGTCTGCGTTCATGTCCTTCTCGCAGCCCAACTCCACCATGATGTCCCCGACGCTGCCGTCGAACCTGTCCAACTTTCCATTCCTTCCCAGTAATACTCTGAACCATCCCTCCAGTCCCCACCTCTCCTCCATCACCTCGCAGAGGTACTTCCCCTACGAGCCCATCAGCTTTCGCAAAGATCACGTCAACATGGACAAGACCCTCCCCAGCAGCCGCGAGGGCGCCATGATCGCCAACAGCTTGTTGAGCCTTCAGCATATCAAGAATTACTCCTCGCATCAGATGTACGCCCAGGGAGTGCCCCATGGAGGCATGAACTGAAGTTGGGACAGGGGTGGAGGTTGTTGCTCTACAGGGTACATCAGCATCAGGATGACACACTTTTGTTTATAAACTACTCTATCAGCCTGTGAACTGCATCCTTTGTATTTAGGATATGACTCTGAGGACTGTTTGAAAGATACTCTAGTTTTCTGAGAACAATAAGAACTAGAAAGCGATAGTTGAGCTAAGACTGGTTATTGATTGAGTTGGTGATGTGGAAAAAGGTCGGAACCTGCCAGACAGACTTTGAAAAAGACCGAAATCTGAGCCATAGTCAGAACATTGAAGGAATGTAATTTTTGAAAAATTAAAGTGACTGCAAGAATCATAAATATAAACAAAGTTCAAAGGTCTTTTGTGGAAAAAAAGTTTTAAAGACCATGAGTAGCCATAGGAAGATCTGGAGATGTCCGTAGGAAGATTTGGAGATGTCGGGGGAGTATCTTTTAACTGTCAGAGCTGGTCAAGTACCTGCCAAACAACACATACTGGCAGCTGTTGGGCAAGTGACATCAGAGGAAGTAGTTTATTTGTTCACCTGTGCTGAAATCAGACTGCAACTGAAAAAAATATATAACAAGAACGTATTGTACTCCATGACAATTCTGTGCCGAAGAGGAGCAGTTTAAATAGAGGTGTAAGAAGTCATTTTATTGAACAGTAATAATCTGAAAAACTGATGTGGTGACAAAGCCGTGCTTAACACGAGCAGGTTACAATGAACACGACAAGTTCAGCCATTCTGAACATTCTGAATTAGAGCTGTATGTATAGACTTTTATATTACCCTGTATACCCATTATATATATATATACACACACATACATATAAATATACATATATATTGTCTGTACCATGGAGTACAGGGGTGCCCTAAAGTTTTTAGGGGGCATCACACTGATGTTTGCGACTGACCCAGTTTCACTGAGAGTTTGGAAATGGGCCTGACAATGACGACATATTCAGATTTTCTGAATGTAAATTATGCTTAGATACTTCATCATAAAATCTATGATGCTGGTATGTTTTTTTTTCTCCTCCCTCCTTTTTTAATCTTTAAGAGAAAAGTTGAGGGTGAGTCTGTAAAATAGGTAATAGGTAAAATAGGTAAGATATATGGATGGGGGGGAAAAGACGTGGAGGCGACACAGGGGCGGCAATATCAGCACTGCTCTGACAGAATAACAAAATACGGCCAGTGCAATTGACCATGAAGTGTAGAAGCAATCTTTAAAGGCTTCCTTTTTATAATCAAAACAGAAAAATCTGTGATTTATCATGTGTTCCATTCTGTAACCATGTTATTTACCAACAGCACAAGTTCCTTTTATTTTTGTTGAAGGGATGCTTTTTTTTTTCCTTAATTAAGGTATGGTAGACAGGGAATCCTTCATTGTCACCTGCTTATTAAAAGTTAAAAATGGATTCCCTCCCCCAGAAAATAGGTTATCTTGGTCCACTTCCCCAAAGTGCCTAATGCCACTTGAAAAATTATATATTTTGCATAAAATGTCTCGCATTACACTAATTTTTGATACTAATTCTGTTCAAATTACTGTAACAGGAAGCATGTCATCCTGCTAAAGGGAAAACAAAAAAAAGACCTTCATTGCCATTGAAAGTTATCATTGACATCAAAAGTCTAAATATTTGAAAGGAAAAAAATAATTAACATGATCAAGTGGGTAACCATGGGTTTTGTGGCATTTGTTAGTTTAAAATTAACACATTCTGTTAAAGAAATGCTCCTTCATAAAGCAATTACAGATATTTTGATAGTATCGAGTTGTTTCTAGGATTGCCAATAGTAGTTATTGAAATGTTGAAATAAAAATCATCTGTTAGTAATAAGTAGCTTGGTCAAAGGGCATACCTTCCAAAGGGCCTTATTTTGACCTTGATCTGACTGGCCAGTCAGAATTGTTCTTTTATTGGCTACCACATTGCTTCACAGTAATCTAACCAATGATATTCCCTGTTGCATGTCGTTGACCATGAAGATGGCCTTTTTTTTTTTTTTTTTTTTGTCAGAGCAGTTCTGTAATGAGGGCCAAGTTCCAAAGTGCCAAAAAGAAACTTACGTAGATAGTTGGTATGAGTTATAAAATAATTACAAGTATTTCCTCCTGGTTGCCGACTAGGTGTGCTGCTGCTACAATGGCTACCTATTGAAATTTTTTTTTTTTTTTTTTTAATCAGAAAAAAAGCTCATGTTAGATATAGAATGATCTCAGTGAGTTTCAAAGAAAGTCACATGACTGCTCCTGACCAATCAAATTGAAGAAAATGTTGTAGCCATTTCTTGAGTATTAATGTTGTTCTAACACTTTCTCCCCTGTTGTTATATTTAGATTTATAGTCAGACTAATTACATATTTGACTGATGCCTTGGCTCCTCCTGGCGAGAAATGGAACATTCCAACCTTGTCGAGCATTTCTTCTTTTACACAGTAGATTATTCCATTCTCAGTCAGAGGGGTGAGAGGTTGTACAAAAGATAATATAAGGCATTAGTGGAATATAAGGTTATTATCATGGTGACCAGGGTTTTTTTAGGGAAAAAAGACCTGGATGATTTTTTATATTGACTTGAAGCATGTATTTATATGATATGCTTTAGTATATAGTTCTATACATATACATATGAATGTTTATATTATCAATGGTAAGATTGGTGATAGCTTAGTTAGATATCCCAAAGTTAGACGGATTATGCTATTAGGAAAATATCATCATAAAATTTTTGCAGGTTTGGGAGATTCTAAAACTTAAGGAAAAAAGAAAACAACTTTGTCTTAACGTTTATATCCCTTTATAAAGGGCCTTTCCTGCATAATATTTTGATGGAATGATTCCTTGCATTTCCCAAAAATTAGAGCTTCATTTCTTTTTTTTTTTTTTTTTTCCTGTGGGGATGGGTTCCAACGTGAACTATGCACTAGGTTAGTGATGGTTGTATATCACTTTAATTTTTTATTTATTTATTTTTATTATTATTATTATTTTTTAATAGATCCCTTAACATTAGACATTCACATAGGAGCTAAACCATTTCAATTAATCGTCTGGTAGAAACTGCACACAAGGGGGGGGGGGCAACATCCTAGATCATATTTTGATTCAGAGTGGACTTTTCCATTCTCTGGACCCCCCCCGTCCCCTGCCCAAACACCACCCCAATTCTCCCTTTTTCTTTCCTAATGTAATGTTTTGGCTTGTGTGGTCAAGCTGGCTATCAAAATTTCGAGTGTAGTTGGTCAAGTGTCATGAACTCTGTAAGCAGCTTGCAATCGACAGAGCCTGCACAACATGAGTGAACCAACTCATAACTGATCTGAATTCAGTCTGTCTATTGGGAACAGGGTCTTTTATTATTATTATTTTCATTTTTTTTTTCATATCTTTTGTTTCTCAGCATCATGTAGTGTAAAGACTATTAATGTGATGGATCTCGGTCTAGTCCCTGTAATAGGAATTGACAAGTATTTTAAGAGATAGGAAACAAGCATATATATATATATTGCCATGGTGAAATCAACCCTAGTCTCTCTACTGTTGAGTGGGCTTTCTGAGGTCTGACTTAGTAAGTAGGTCAACTTTACACTGGAATCACCTGTACCAGTACTGCTTTCTTGGGTGTAAGGGTTCAGTAATTGATAGGTCGGATTTGCACTGGAATTGTGAGTGCAGTTTTGTAGTCTGTTTTCTATAGATATATAGATAGTTATATTATCAGTACATGCTGCAATTTTTTCAAAGTGTTGGTGCTTCACTACTTTTTATGTGCAGTAACTAGTTAAGATGGTTTTGTTTTCTTTTTTCATCAGAAATGATGTTGACTGCTTACCTTTTTAGTAAATATAGGAATATTTTGCCTCAAATCACAACAAGGAGTATTCAGTTTTTTATGATTTAATCAGCTTGCCGGACATTTTGATGCAGATAATCAACACAGTGTATATAAGCCTTGTTGGTGTTATGATTTTAATATTCTCTGCTAGGGATTTAAAAAAAAATGTTATTATGGTAATCTTTGTTTTGTATCATAAATTGGATTTAACCATGGCATTGTAGGAAGAGCTTCAAAAATCAAATTTACAATTTCAAGCACAGCTTGGTGGTTTGTGGTAGTGAGCCATTTATAATATTCATAGGTTTATGTATTTTAATATTTCATATGGATGGAAGATGTTACCAAGCACTCCTTTCTTACTGAGAATGTCACAGCCTGTCCCCATCACGCGAATAATCAAACCTTTGCATTATAAAACGTGAATAATATTGTAAAGGATTGGATATGATTGTTTATGTCAAGGTTTTTTTCTCTCTATACCAGAAAGAATTAGACTGTTATATTTTTGGTATATTTATTAAATTGGCTGAGCATTATTCCCTGATAGATAATAGATAGAGCAAGACCTTCAAAAGGCAAGAAATGTCCATGGCATATTTACTATATAGGATAGCTTAATTCAGAAACCTTTCAAAGGCTACACACAAATATGTATATTTTCTGCCAAAAGTCATTGTTTATTGAATTTTTAAATAATATATAGATATGTATGTTTATGGCAACAAAACAGCTATACTAGATATTATTTTTATTTAAGCTTTACTATAGACCTTGCCTTGTTAGCCTTTTGTAAAATTTGCTTTGGAAAAAAATCAAAAGATTAAGATAAAGAACACATGCAATAAGCTTAAAGCAAATGGTAAAATATGAATGATCTTCATTGTAAATGGGGTCATTTCTGTGCTTTGGAGTTGCATCTTTTTTTAATCGACTATCTTAAGTGCTAATTGCTTTGTTTGGTTGCATGTAATTGGCTTAATGTTGGTGAGCTTGAGCTTCAACTGCAATACTTACCTGTTTATTTTATACCTATATCTTATTCATTTTATACTTATATTCATAGTAATAATTGTTGATATTTTATTCAGCCTTTGTTTTGAATAAGGATTTTTATTACACATTTGCCACCTTGTTTTTAGTTGTTTGCAAAAGTGAATGGTAGTATAAGATTGCTAAAACCTACAGGTTTTAAATGGCCATTCTTGTACTCGCTCAAGCAAATAGTTTCAAATATTTTGCTTCTTGTGGACTTTTAGTAAAATTGCTAGTTCTTGAGAGATTGGAAAAAGGTTACAAGGTGATTGCTTGTATCCGTCATTAAAAAGATGGAGTGGTTTTTACGGTTTTGTGGCAGGCAACGGGAGCATGAGTGCTTAAAAGCAGTTGTTTCTAATTGCCTTAGTGAATCAATCCTTAAGGTGCTATAGAAATAGGGAAACTCATCTTTACTACTGTTTTTATCACAATTTTTCCCTAAGATTTACCTTGTGATGACACATGCATATCATGTTACTTTGTGGGTGTTGTAACCTTGGCGGCAGCTGCGGGATAGTTTACTGTGGTGGCAGCGGCGGGATAACTTTTTAAAAAGAAGTAAGCTGCTTCCACCATTGTGTATAATTACAAGTAAAGAATCATACTAGTTTATGACAAAATTGTTCTTGCCTTTAAGTCTTGCTAAGAAATAGCTCTTAAGAATATGATATGGTATTGGATTGAAAGTTTGAAACCTACATGTTCAACTAATTTTATGTAGACAGTCCTTAAATTATACGGTGCTTGCTGTAGATGGGCTTTTAAAAAGTCATATTTGAGTGACAAAGGGATCCAATTCTGACCCTAGTAAATGGGTGAAGAAGCTTTCACGAGTCACTCTGAGATAAAGAAGCTATAAGATCCCCTGTAACATAGGGCTGGAAAACGTTTTCATACTATGCTAACTTAACAGTACAACTGAAACGCCCAGATAAAAATATATGTCACAATTATTTTTGTTATATTCAGCTTTGCTCTTGAGTGCAAAACTTTTCTTTACTCATTTACACTAAACATTTTTAGCAGTTATTAATAATAATTTCAGTTTTGCTTAAGCTTAATAGGTTCTAGGGCTGAAAGAAATTTGTGTACAAAACTTTATGTAACCCTGTATATGACAAATCTACGGCACAAAATTACGACTCAGTAGATCCGTTGATCTATGTTGTATGTTACCATGTGTTCAGTTTATTGTGAGCCAATCGCTGCATATTTGTAATGATTATTTAGCAGTATGACTATTATGCTATAAGTATACTTTTATTCATACTATTATAACTTTGATATATTATTAGTCGATTCAGTGCTCTGTCAAAGCCAACTAATGTGTTTGTGATCTGTACATCAGCACAATGACATGTGACAAAAAATTGTCATGAAATTATTTTTTATTCTTACCCACAGTGCATTTCTTCCCTGTATTTAAATCAAAAACGAATGGCACAATCCCAGAGTTCCATTTGAACATTCAGCAGTAAATTTTGTCATGTCTCTGACTGGTCAATTGTATTTTTTGATTGACTTTTTATAATATTTTTTTGGGGTTGGTGCATTTTTTCCCTTTTAAACTACCAGTACATTTCTTGTCACATCCATTTCCAGGAAATGTGGTATTCAAAGTTTGTTATTTTTCACGGAGGTAAAGGCAATTCAAAATTGTATGCTTGAAGTGCATTGGGGTCGGTAAATGTTGAAAACGGCTTTCAAAAAAGCAAACAAAAAATCGGTAGTTATTCAGTATTTATGTAGATGGAATAGCATATGCATGTTACAAGGTCACCCTGCGTTTCATAGCGTCATCGCCCATTTTACTCAAAAATGAGTACATTCTAGGTAAAAACTGGGGAAATGTTTGCTCTGAAACTCTGGGTTGCCTCAATTACCAGTTCATATAATTGTCAATTGAGAACGCACTTCGTTGATCTTAAAAACAAAAAGTAGTGCTTGACTTCATTTTGTATGACAAAATGTAAACGTGTCTAAAAGCAGCACGAACAAATGAGATGTTAAGTGGTAATTGTCTGTGGACTTGTTGTACTGTTTTGTCTTTTCCTTACGAGGAGGAACCCTGCTTTGTAATAAAATCTGAATTTCAAACAGAAGAGTGCATTGTTTTTACTTTAGACAGTTACATTGATATTTAGAGAAAAATCCATGTGAGTGTGTACTGAATCTACATGCATTTTTCCGTTGACTTTGCTATGTCTCTTCCTGGATAACCCACAGTAAACATGAGCGTAATAGAATAGACTAATACATATATATATATGACGAAATAGGGAAAGTTTGGACCCCGAAGAGGTCATTTTGAAATGCAGAATCTTACAAGTTTCTGTGATATATGTCGTCGTGAGATGAGGTTACTACTGGTTGAATTTTGTGTCTATTGTGGAAAACGCGGTTTGACACAATGCGATGAAATAATTATGATTTCAGAAATGTGATAACACTATAAATCGTCGCTGGTTAGAATAGGTAAAAGTACATGTTGTTGACTGAAGATCAATGAAAAAGTCCAAAATTTTCCCTGAAGTCATTTTCAAAATTTGGGTGGAGCGATCGCCCCTTTAATTTCCCGTAAGGGTGGATTTCTTGGTAAGATCAATCATCCCAACCTTGAACTGCGAACAACTTATTACAACTTATTTCCTCACTAAGTGTGAGAGGTGTCTGATCAGGTTGGTGGTCGTCTTTGATGCCAAGAGGGAACTTCCTCGCGTGCTCGCGTGCCGCAGTCACCGTGGGGCAAAGACCCTGGACCAAGCTCTTGACCCTGGCTTTGAAGTTTCAGTGGCGATTAGCCACCCTGTATTTTAAAGTTTTATTGGAGACACTTCCCCTGGATCTCGACAACCCTCTACCAGGGTCACAGGTTGATTTTTCACTAGATAGTCACAGATACGTTTCTGGGTAATTCATGGCACAATTCTCGCGTTGGTGAAAAGTGCACAATAACCTGTGGCTCTGGTTCACGTAAGACTTTCAATTTACAAGAACACTAAATCTTTGCTCAGTCAAACATTGGTTGCAACCAGTTTTGAAATTTGGTACATGACCATTTTAAAGTTTGGCTCCGTCCACAACCAAGCTGATCCGCGGACTAACTGAACCGCGGATCAAATAAAGCACGAGCCACTTGAAAGCTTGTCGCGTAATCCCGCGGGGAATCCATAAGGGAATTTAGCGGCAAATTTTAAAGTGCGTTGCGTCATATTTGATCGACGGATAAGTTAGTACGCGGATCAAATTGGTTGTGAACAGGCCCCATGTGGGACCTAACTGAATATTCAGTGTACCGACTACATGATTTTGTAAATTGATTTTATAGGCCGAAAAAAAAATTCTAATTTTTTTTTTTTTTCAGATAAAGATTATATGTCCAGCAACTACCTTTCTGTTTTATCTGATGCAACTGGTGGTTCAAGACTTGAGTAAAGGCAAAAAGGGATTAAAAGGGACAGAAGCTTTTGAAATTTTGCTTCGCCGTTAAGGGGATGCAGTCCGCACCAACCCTCTTCCCAAACCCACCCTTCGTATGACCCTGATACCTACATTTACAATTATTTTGCATAGGATAAGCAGATTCGTAGCCAGGTGTTTCGGAGGATTCGAAAGAACCCCCGCCCCGGGCTCTTTTTGCTGGGAAAAGGTCCCCATTGGGTAAAATTTTATCGGAGGTTTCATGGTAATATGTCCACTTTTTCAGAAAAGAACCCCCATTTGAAATTGCTGGCTACGGGCCTGATATTTATATATTTTTTTTTCTTCAAATTCTCAGAGATTCACGACCAAGTCCGAGGCCGTGCAGCACACCCGCAACGACCACGGGAAGGAGGAGAAACGCCACAAGTGTCCCGAGTGCGTGAAGTCGTTCCCGTCGTCCCAGCAACTGGCCCAGCACATGCTAGTCCACACCAACGAGCGATCTCATCACTGCGAATACTGCGACAAGTCCTTCAAGCAGCTGTCCCATCTCCAGCAGCACCGGAGAAGACACACGGGTACGTTAAGGACCATTTCCAGAGCCTATCGTACTAACTTTGGATCGATCTATCTCCAGAGGCATTCTAACTAAAGAGCTATCAACTAAGCGGCTTAAATGTTTGTCATGCCTACTATAGTTGTTGGGGGATAATTAACTACCGGAAGGCCGAGCGTGCACGAAAGTTAATTACCCCCTAGCTGATTCGGTAGGCGTGACAGACATTTAAGCTGCTTAAGTTGATAGCAATTTAGCGTGAATCCCCATGGCACGGGAACCCAGGCTTAGTCGAAAAGTTTTCATTTATGATAGATTCACTTTTCGACTATTAAAACTGAGATTCATTGAAACTATTTTCATATTCACACACAGGTATGCTTGTGAAAATTGCAGAATGATAATTTAACAGTTGGAAAATGAGATGGGATTGGGGAAAGGGGATGACATTTTATTTATTTAATTATTTATTTATTTATTTCTAATCTTATATATTAATTTATGTATGCATTTCTTTGTTTCTTCCTCTCTTTTATTTTTGTGCTCAGTAACTAGACAAATCTTACTTTATTTTTTTCTACAAATGTGATCATCAACTAGATAAATTACCGTTGAAAATATTGAAGCTGACCAATTTTCAGCAATGCATCGGAATACATATACTTTAGTAAAATGTCCCAAAATTGGACGCATAATAAAGCAAAGACTAAGGGATAGAATGGGGGTGAACTTTTTTTTTATTTTTAAGAACATAAAACAGACGATGAGGCAACGAATTGTATTTCTGTCCAGCAGCCGGGTAGATTTGAAAAAGAAAAATGTTTTTTCTTCAACAATATTCTAATTACGTATTGCCCTCGTTTGTGCTCCTGCCAGGTGAACGTCCATACAACTGCCCCATGGAGGGGTGCGAGCTCGCGTTTGCGCAACTCTCGAATCTTCAACAGCACGTGCGTAACCATGCCAACCAGGAAGCGAAGTCCGCCAGCCGAGATTACCAATGCGAGGTTTGTAAGCGGAGGTTTACCACAGTCTCAAGCCTGCAGAAACATTCGGCGAAGGTGAGAGGAGGCGAACGCCATGACTGTCTCATGCTTCGTATGTGCACAAGTGCCTTACGCAATCTGGTCTCGTTAAACTTCTGCTCTTCATGTGTTATTACAGAGCGCATTCAGGACAGCGGACTAACAGATCCGCGGATCAAATATGGCCAACCCACTTGAATGCTTGTTTCATAATCCCTTTTAGTGGGTCGCCATATTTGATCCGCGGATCTGTTAGTCTGGTGTTCTGAATATGCTCACAGTCTTAAGGTGAAGAGGAGTGATTTTAACCCTAAAATTTTGCAAGGGAAGAAAACGTTGCTACATATTAATTTTTATGTAACAGTTTCTAAATATCTTCATTTGTAACTATAGCTGGCCTAATATAGACAATGTTGGAAAGTTGGGAACCATTCCATGTATTAGTGAAAGAAGCACCTTGCGTATGCCTAAATTCCTCCGTTCACACCATGTATTGACGCCAACCCAATGATGGCAATGATGTACATAACTTTTTTACATGTGCCCTATTTGTTCCAATCATTACAGTAGTCTTTTATGATACGCTTCATGACACGATGCAACTGTTTCAATTCGCAAAATAATAAATAAATAAATAAATAAATAAATAAATAAATAAATAAATAAATAAATAAAAACTACATGATTATTAACACAAAAAAATATATATGCATCTCCAGGTTCACATTCACCTCGTGCCATCCCCCGAACAGATGATCAAGGAAGTCGCAGAGAAACTGAACAAGAGCACCAAGCCAACAAAGAAACGCAAAGCGACAGCCACGACGTCAAGGGAGCCCACAATGGTCCCAATCCATTACCCGGATCTTCAGCTCCGAGACCCCAATCTCGGTCCGTACCACCAAACGGATCAGAGGCCGGAGCGACCCGAGAGACCGCCCACTATAATATACCCCGACCTTCAGTTGAGAGATCCCAACGTCGATTCGTACAGAAGCAGTGAGAGGGGTCGAGAGAACAGAGATGGACCGTCACAGGATGACCTCAGAGGCGAAGGTCAAGGTCAAGGCCGAAGTCTATCTGAAGGTCGTGGTCATGAAAATCAACCTTCATTCAATACGCTGCCGCCGCAGCCGTCGTCGTCGTCTTCATCCTCGGGTTTGTCCGCGCTTCCGCCGTTCTCGCAAGCGCTCTCCCAGCATGCTCCACAGGATTCGTTGCCCGCCTTCCCACGCCTGCCGAACGACGGAGATCCGCGGGTTCCTTTTCATCATTTCCCTTTGCTTATGCCGCCAGATCGCCACCATCTTGGACCCCCCAGGTTGCACCCTCATCAGACACCAATCTCAGTCCACGAACACCAGAGGGCAGCAGAGTCGGAGAGAACCGAAGAAAGAGCGAAGGATAAATAAATAAATAAGTCTTCGTGTGTTTAGGGTAAAATATGAAGTATCTTAACTAGAAGTGAACCTTGCACGTACACATGGAACATAAGGAAGTTTCGTACTTGTAGTCATCGGTAACATTCATCGCCGTCGGATGGGGGGAGGGAAAAATAGTGTTCAATGTTAGCTGTTAAGTAAAGTATAACGTTATTTGCGCGCTTTCTTTGTTTATAAGGTTGATTGGGTATATTGAACCGGCAGTCATAAAATGAATGGAAGTGCATCTGACCGGCAATTTTTAAAAAAAATCTGGTCTTATGTTGTATCGATTGTGGGGCTATTTACCAATATTTCCTGTTTTAGAGAAGTGCGTGCACACGATAAGCTACAAGCTGAGTTATCTGTTCCGCACGGGCTGAGCTTCAAGTTCAGCTTGTGCGCGGTCCCGAGGCACTCTGATTTTCTTACTATATCTGACAGTCTCGGTGACCCAAGATAAGATGAGAGAAGCCAATCTCTCGAGGGCTCGATACATGTAATTTTATAACACTTTAAAAAGTGTGTTAGTCAGGCTGTAGATAGATGGAGTAAAATGGCCCGTAGAAAAAACCGTCACGTGTCACTTGGAGCCATTTAAAGTATTACATTAGTTACTACGGATCATCATAGTAAAGCACTTTAATTTAGCTCTGTTCAATTGTTGTATCTTTTTAATGATATTGTATTATGCATTTTTGTTAGCGATCTGTTGTATAATTAGCAGATCTTTTTGACCACATTTTTATGTGTGTGAACGTATAAAGTAGAAAAACGACTTACTTTTCTTTAGAAATTTATAATTGTCAAGCATTTTTAGTTATAAATTACTATTATATATCCCAGAAAGGTTGGTATCTTGCTGTTGAGAAACGTATTTGGGAAAATGAATAGTGCCATTTGTCCCTTGATTTCCGTTTGAAGAAAAATATTTCAAGATGCATGACCTGCTTAAAGGGCGACGGCCTATAATCAGAAGTATTATTATGTAAGATTCTAGGAGTTATTAGAAAATTAAAAGTTTTCACGAGGCGTGGCTTGTCATAGACGTAGGCTATTTTGTTCTGTGTTAAATAATACAGTACCCGGCTACCTATCAAGCGTGCAATCCTTTTTTGTTTTGTTTTTTTCATGTTCAAAATTAGCAAATTGTAGAAAACCTTATAGGCGGTGCAATATTTCAAGTCACGCACATTAAGGAAGGTAACGTGATTGTGTAACCAATGTTTGCATCAAATTCACCTATTCGTTGCTGTTTAGGTGGAGAGAAACGCCTGAAGAAAATGGCTCCGATGAAGACTTAGATTCATGTTACTGCTCTCGTGTCTTTTTACGCCTTATAAAGGCAGGTGAAGTGTCAAAGATCATGTTACTGATTTTTTTCATGATTGAATACACCGGCTGTGCCATACGCCTAGTGCACCTAGTGAAAGTTCTTTGAATAAAGTTTTTAAATTGATGTATATATTCCCTGGCAAGCTGCTCTCTAAGGCCTCATTCAGAATAGGGGACTAACTAGTCCGAGGGTCAAATATGGCCGACCCACTTGAATACTTCCCCATGGGATATCTATTCAGTGTCTATTGGCGGATTAGCCGGCAAGCTTTGTAGTGGGTGGCCGTATTTGACCCTCGGACTAATAACCCCCCCTATTCTGAATGGGACCTAAGGCGGCTGACTGTTTATGTCACAAAGTGCATACTGGGTGCCTCGGCGTATGACGGTGATCATCTTTTTACTGACATGCTTTTGTTCATCTTGCTCTAATATAATTTCCGGATATCTAACGGCAGTACGAAATGTGCACCAGTACACCGACGTGGCCAGGATTTTGCCTAGGGGGTGGGGGGTGGGGGTTGATTGGGGAGGGGTGTAGAACAAGGATCAAAATGTAAAACGGACGAGGATAATTTTGCTATAATGTGTAGGCACAGGGATGGAAAAATCGATCGCTTTTTTCTCTCGTTTTGCTCGCTATACTTTTTTTTGAGTGGGGATACAAGTTCGTGACGTAACCTTAGGTGCTCTCTGTTAAAGTTTGTGTCATGTATCAAGGCGTTGACTTCTTTCAAAGGTCGTCGTCACGTTAGGTGTTTTTTGTAAGTATATCCGATTTCATTTCGATATGAAGAAATGAGTTTTTTATGTGAAAAAAAAGATGTACCTGTTGTCGGTTCTTGTGAGTTAATTTTGTAGCACGAGAAGCGTTTTTTCGGAAAAAAAGTTATAAGTCCAGAAACAGGTTGTATTGTATTCGATCTCTCTAAAAATATAACTGTCGTTGGCACAGCAGAAGGACACCGTTGTTTTTAACTTTGGGTAGCAAAAATAATTTATCAGTTATATAGATTCAATTTTTCTATATTTTTTTTTCACATTTTTTGTCAGATTGTCATCTCAGCGGTCGGCTTATTCAGTCGAATGTGACAAGTATTAGGTGAAAAAAACTGAAAAAGTAATAGAAAAATTGAAAATATAATTTACTGATGTGAACATAATATATTATAAGAGTTAATCAATGGTTGGTTGTTGATACACTGCTCCAAAGAATTCCAACTGGTTGATTTGGAGGACTTACTCTAATTCTGAATTGGGTTAGCTTTTCGTAAAGCAATGTACCTACATGTATATAGACTTTTTGCAATGTCGTCATAACATAACGGAGAAAAAAAAACAGCAGACCCTTGCAAAGGCAACCCTTCTTAGTTTTATAGACCTAGAGCAAAATGTTTAACTTTCAATTTTGCCACATTCGAAATGTCAGCTTTCCGAATGGAATGGCAAAAAAAAAAAAAGAATGCGTAGTGTTATTGGGAATGAGTTATTCTCGTAAGTTTCTCTGTCCATTTACATGAAAATCCTCGACCGAGTTGCCAACTACATAACATGTCCACAGTCGGTGTGTGGCGTCACCGCAATAAGGTCTATAGAATATACAGCAGGTATGTGACGTCAACGGAATAAGATCTGTAGAAAGTCATTTTTTACGATTCAATATATTAATAGGTGATGTTGTAAACGTCCCTCTCGCTTCAATGTCGTACAAAGGCATTTTTGCCTGCTTAAAAAGCATTACTGGTGCACATATTTTACTATTACTATTTTCTGTTTAAGGTTATTCTGTAGGCATTATCACAGTAGTGATATTTCTTTATGATATTAGTTTGTTACATCATTTTTTCCAGTTATATTTTATGTTAGTCAGAGCTAGTTCAGTTATATTTTATGTCCAGTTCTATTTTCAGACTAAGCAGTTGGTAATTTCCTTTTTACTTATCAATGGAAATGCAGTTTTCCACATAATATAAAGGCTTTAGTTTGCACAGGCAGTCATGAAAACCTTTAGAGATTTGTCGGCAATGCAATAACTCCTTGCAAAAGAGCATGGATCAATAACAATGCTTATTTTAGGTAGAAAACTAAGTTACGTAATAAAGAAATGTTTAGATACCACGTGTAGTATTCCTTCTTTAGATTTTGACAAAGGATTTCAACTACAGACGGAGAGAATCGTGTTACCAACTATGTTTAAGCAATTTTGACTGTCATATTCTTGGAATATCTTATCCAGTCGATTCTTGGAAAAGATATTGCGGATTCTTTTTTAAAGAAATACTTGAAGAAATGCTTGGCTTCTTGTATGACATGGATTGTTTGTGCGCTTTGCTCTATTTGATACCATTCTGTTCAGTTACTCGAGTTTCGTTCAATTATAGGTTCACTACCTCGAGTCATCGTCGGCATGCTCAACCACTCATTCCACGTCCGCTGAACCAAGCTTGTTAAACAGACCCTTAGACACGTTTTTCCGAAATAAAAAAGGAGAAATTCCAGGAAGTTCATTGTCACAGACATCGTGCTTTGTTACAGTGTCATTAAAACATTATGTTGATTGAAAAAGAACCCAGACCCTATTCTGGTGCAAAAAGATGACTATAATTTGTTATGCGGACCAAGAGTACGACCATAAATTTTTAATTAAATTACCGTTTATGAAAGTACAGATAGATTGCACAGCACTCTCTTTCTTTTGTTTGGTCACATTACTGCTAAATTACGTGCGCGACAAACATCAGTGTTATTCACTCTTAAAATTCCGTTTTCGCGCGCCAGGCACTCTCGGTTTGCTGTGACGTCAACTTAATTACCCTTTCATAAATTAAAAGGCTGAAATAGTTACTTGAATAAAAAATAATTATATTAATTAAATAAGACCCACGACTTTTTTTTGAAGTATGTAATGTTCTATGGAACAAGAATTGTTGGCAATCACACAGACATGCATTCAAGTATAGACAAACCTGAAGAAGTAACAGTAAAACTGTACACACGATTTATTCTAAAATTCACATGTAAAATAATTATAATACATAAAATGATACCAAGTCAGGTATATTCTCCAGAATATGTATATATAATTTCTGACACAAGACAAATTGTGTTGACACTAATAAAGTCTTTAAAAAAATCTCCATTCAACATCTTTTCACACCATTCTTCTAATTAACACCGTTCACACATTCTCTATCAGATTTAAATTATTTATCAATAATCCATCCACAGAACATATGTAAAAATGTGAAGTATTCCAATAGGTACAAAATAAGTCATTATAACAGGAAATATCCAGACGTGCGGAAGCACACAGAGAGACAGAGAGAGAGAGGAAGGGGAGAGTCGCTTAAACTTAAGGACAATTCATTCACTATTTTCAGTGATGCCAAAGAGGCTGACCTTCACTGTGTCTGCACAGGTCAATACATTCTTGAAGACATAAAAGTCAACTAACGACATAAATTACCCAACAGTTTATGAGATATAAAAAGTGTGAAAGAAACATCCTTTTTGTGAATGTGATAGCATGCCTGATTCTTTCAAACCATATCCATTTTTGATAGCCATTCCAAGTACTAAACAAAAGGTCTTTTCTTTAAAAAAAATAAATAAAAAACATTAACAACTCTCTACCACTAAATGCTCTTGCTAAAATTGTCTCTGCTGTGTCTATTCATTAGTAGACATAACGTGTAAGAATAAAACATTCAGCCACTGTTAGCACTTCTGACTTCGTGATGCCCTCGTGCCTCGTTTTGGTATGACCTCCGGCCTCCGACAGGAGACTGATTTTTTTGGTTTTCGAACGGGAAGTGGAGAGGGACTGTCCACATTGGGATTCGTGTTTTCTGCATCGCTGTCTTTTTCTTCTTCTTCTACCTCCACAGTTTTCTCTTCTGCAAAGTAAATAATGGATAATTTTGCTTAATGTTGTTTAATACAGTATGTATAGTCCTTTAATACAGTGTACAACCTTAACTATAAGTTTTTATCATCCTCCTGCAGTTGTCCAAAAAATGAAAACACAAATATATTCTTCTTAAAAATCTACACCATTCAGAGATGAAAGCAGACCTTTTTAAAAAAAAATTACGCAAAGCACAAAAGGCACGTTTCTATATTGGGGGTCCAGGCAGCATAAATACCACACCCAAATTTTAAAATTTCAGGACAAGTCCTAAGACTCTCTGGAAGCCTTATCTAAACATGCTAAAAATAAATGAGGATATATCAGAAAAAAAACTAAATTAAAAAATAAAAAGATAGGAAAATCATCCTCCTTTTCTCACCTTTCCCCGAGACATCATAAAGTTCTATATCGCTGTCGTCACTAAACACCAGTGCTGGTTTAGCCTTGCCAGCCGCCTTATGCCGCCCTCTAGCAGCAGGATTGGAAACCTCCTCTGTCTCGGCCCCCTCCTCCTCCCCCTCACCGCCTTGGTCCGACTCCTCGTCCGAGTCCTCAAACCTCCGCGTTGTCCTACCACGCCCCTTCTTACCCTTTCCTGCAGCCGAAAAGACAAGTGTCACAAAAGGTTAAAAAAATAAAGTTAAAAGAAATTTAGAACTAATAAATAGATTTAATAGAACATGGTTTTCTCAACAGTTTTGGATAAGGCACAGCTTGGGGGTTAAGAGAAAATTGTTTTTTTCCCAAAAACAGAAAAGACAAACATTACAGCAGTTAAAATAGGAATTTAAAAAGGTAATTTTCAAGACAGCTTTGGATTGGATATACCATTGGTGATGAATGAAAAAGTGTTTAAAATTCAAGGGAAAATTATGTATTTTTTTCATGCAATAAAAAAGGTCTAACATGCATTGTCTGTAATGTTCCTCCATGGAACTGGTCCAAGATCTACATCATACCTGGTGTTTTGGCTGGTGTCTTCCCTCTGTTCTTTCTCCCCCCCGCTGCTGCTGCTGCCGCAGAGGCCTTGGTGGCCTTCATCATGGCGGCCTCGTCATCCATCCCCTTGGTGTGGCACTCCTCCAGCCTCTGCTCAAACTCCTCAACCATGGCCTGTAGTGGGGGAGAATACAATGCCATGAGTAAATAAAGAAAATAAAAAGAAAGAGAGAAACAAAAAAGAAAAGAACTAAAAAAAATAGACATTTTTCACTACATACATTTTCTGAACCAAACTGTAAGTTAGACTTAGTGTGAATAAAAATGAAAAAGTTTCTGACTGGTGAAAATCAATCAATCAAAAAATAAATAAATAAATGAAAAATATAAATAATAAATTTTGTACAGGTCATGTGTTGCCATCTGGTGGCCATCAAAACACCTGCTGCCATCTGGTGGCCATCCACACACATTACTGTGAAGATTACTCCTATCTTTTACCTTGGTCTCAGGCTTGGCAAACTTCTTGGCTCCACTGATGATGGTGGTGAAACAGCTGTACACTTCTTCCTCGTGCAACTTGTCTCCAAAACAAGCAAAATTTTCCTGCAGTTTACGAATGCTCTTCTCGTTGTACGACAGCATGGACAGGCAAAATGATAGGTCGCGCCACTGTCTCTCGGTCCTGTTGTAAGTAGGAATAGATAGGAATAGATATTCATAGTGGTCACAAACTAACAGATGACAATTTTCCTTTCCCAATTTATGTGATGAGGTATATTTTGGAGAGATGGGAAGAAAATTAAAAAAAAAAGATTTGAAAAATACAAGAAAGAGCTGAAGTTAAATACAAAGGAGGGAGTTAACAACTCAACATGATCGACTCACTGGGATTATACACATATCAACAATCACACTGTCTTAGTCTAAAACAAAATCATGTGTCAAACTGGACTGAGCTAAAAATCTCCACAAAAGAGACAATCTATAAAAAACAAATAATGATGCAAATCCATATGGTACGTTGAAAAACAATCTTAAATAGAGATGGAGGGAGTGCTTATAAACTTTCATATAAACATGAAGATATTATCAATTTCACCAAAGTAGTAATGTCAAAGCAGGGAAGAGACTTCATGGTTAACATCAGAAGTACAAGTAAGGAATGTCGAAATATTTAGCTGTGATGAAGTCAGACAAAACTGAAAACAAGGTTCCATATTTTAAGTATGGACCTAACTATTCAAAGCTCCAATGCAACCATGTTCTCACCTTGTAGCTCTAAACCTGTGACACAGTTTCTCCACCAGACTCTCACACTGCTTGTCCTTCTGGATGAATGAGAACAGATACCTGGAATTAAGAAATGAACAAAAAATAGGTAAAATTTTCTCGCCAGATGGGCATACATAATGCTGGTGAAGCAGGTTTTGAACAAATTAGTCATGAAGTCAGTCTTTTGATAAAACGTAAAAAAAGCCCTGCCTTATAGGTAAAGGCATTAAAACACCCAACTATCCAGATAAGTCTGGAGGATAGAAGACTGTCCTTTCTACCCCAGGGACTCACTTCATGATTGTCTTGAAGTTCTCCTCCTCCACACCCACATCAGGGTCTGAAAGCCTGCTGATCACGTCCGGCATGATGTTGTACACTGCGTTGCCCTGGAAACAAAAAAAAAAGTAATGATGAAGATATTAATAATTACAATAATAAAACTAATAAATTATTTCTTAAAAAAAAGTACTACTGTCTTAGTGCTCCGTACACATGCAGAAATAAATCAACTGAAATTAACATAATAAAAAATGACCACTGAATTTGAAAATCGGCCCTAAACAGCATTGACATTGCCACATCCTGACAGTGTAATTCTTCCTTTAAAACTTTCATCACAGAAAAGCAAAATGGACAAACATTTTCAACTTCGACCTCAATGACCTTGACACCAGTGACCTTGACCTACCTTCTTGGACAGCTCGTGGAAGAAGAGTCTGGCCAGTCCAGCGATCCTGGGGTCAGGGTCACACAGACAGGTCGCCATCTCGCTGATCTGACCTTTGACCTTGACCATGTCGTTCAGGATCAGATGGGTCAGCACCATCATGGTGTTCTTGCGGACCTGCGGCGAGTCGTCGCGCAGCCTGAAAAGAGGATGGTTTTTTAAATCTTTTTCTTTTTTACAAGCAACTGGACTGAAACCACTGTTCAAATTACTGACCAAATACCTTAAAGAAGATTTAGTATAATTATATTTGCTTAAATTGAAAATGAAAAATTCAACATCCAAAATCATTTATCATCTTTGTTTTTATTTATTTATTTATTTATTTATTTATTTATTTATTTATTTATTTATTTATTTATTTATTCTTAGTGTCTACTACCTTGCATATAAATGAGGAGTCCAAGGTTCAATCAAGTTAGGAAAGCGGAAAGTCAAGTCGCCCAGGGTGATGATGGTGTTGGCGCGAATAACAGGATTCTGGGACTTTTCCAAGATGGTGAACAAAAGCTGTAAGTGAGCCTCACAGAACTCGGAGCTGGAAAATAATGAAGTGATGCATTAACTTTTAATTTTTGGTTTGAATTTTTTGCAAAGATCTTTCATGAGGTGGGAGTATTTGTGTGAAAATTAAAGAATGTCTTCATATTAGCACAGGATCAACTTGAAAGTCAAAACCATAATGGCCATCTTCACTGCAGTGGGATTTTTTAAATATTTTCTTCACTCCCTGTCAAACAGGGCTGAGACTGCCATTAAGAGGAAAAATCAGAAAATATGGTGTGGGTCCAGGGGGCCATCTAGGCCAATATTTTTGGAAAAACCTCAACCCTGATCATAACTTAAGAGAGAATAAAGTTTCACCAGCAATTTCTGAAAACTGGAATAATACCACCACAGTTAACCACTTATGACAACTCTGCATTTAAGAACTGTTTTTTGACTGGTTCTCAGCAAACATACGGTAAAAACATGAAAATTTTGTCACTTAAAAATTAATTAAAATTCGAAAATGCCTAAATCTGAAATGGCCATATTAGGCAAAGAACTTTTCAAAATTATCCAGAGGCCCATTATCAAGTTTGATGAAATTTTCCAAGTGAAAAAAAAAATTATGCCAGCAGAGAATCGTCTTCTGAAAATAATTTCTCTACACAGACTAAATTTTCAAGTTTATCCATAAATACTTACCTAACCATCATGAATTTGGCCAGAGCCAATGTAGCTGCAGTTCGTAGTTCAGGATCTGGGTACTTGACCTGGTTGTTGCATACAGCCACCAGTAGAGGGCGCAGTATGGCCAATAGATTACGACCTATGGCAGTGGTTCACAGGTTAATGTAATAGAAATGAAACAGAATACCCAAAATTGGGTACACTTAGCACTTAGACCAGAGGATTGCCAATGATTATGTTTTTTTTTTTCTCATTTGTAGAACATGTCACTTTATTACTTTATTACTTAAAGAAAAAATATTACTGTACTGAAATGACATACACAAACAACATCTCTTTTCAAAAATTGTTACTGCTGATAAATATAACTGTTAAGAATTCGCTACCAACTCAGAGAGAGAGATCTCTCACCTGTCACAATGTCAGTCTCACATATCTTCCTGATGTACTCGGCCTCAGCGTCGTCAGCAGTGGCTCCAGTCAGTCCCAGCTCCTCCTCTATAGACTCCTGCTGAGTAGTGTCCTAGACATGATAAAATCACATATGTAAGATTATGGGCGATGTACATGTATGCAAAGGCCATGTGGGTGTGCCTAGGTGGACGGATGCCGTCTTCTGGAAAACAGTTAGAATTTTTTTAGTTTACATTGACGCGCATCTAATTTTTTCTGTCAGAAGACTGTCAGTAAATATCTCTGGATCCGCCCCTGCGTGTGTATCTGTGCGCAGGCATGTGCATCAATGCACACACTTGTGTGTTTGTATTTTCACAAGTTCTGTACATTTGTCCGTGCATGTCAAAAAGTTACCTTTTCGTGTGACTCCAGCTAGGTGGTGTTCTCAAAAAATCTGGTTTTTCTCTAAACATATTTATCTCCCCCCTCTCTACCAATACTCATAAACATAGAACAGCATTCACACACTCCCCAGGGAGGCGAGAACGAATATAGTGTGTGCAACAGGGCCATAAACGACTAGGGATCCCAGACTTAAAACATATAAAAATATGTAAAAACTTATAATAATAAATAGATAAATAAATAAATAAATAAAAAGTGTATAACTTCAACCTTCGGGTTGCAATGTTCAATAAAGATTATTATTATTATTATTATTATAATATACACACCAGTGCAGACTACAAACACACCAAACATTTTAATTATACCATACCTTAGTTGTATTAGAGCTAGCAGTAGTATTAACAGTGGTGTCCTTAGATTTCTTCTTCCCGCTGTCGGCCTCTCGGAGCATGTTTCTCCTCTTCAGCTCCCCCATCACGCTGTTATCCAGGAACACCAGTTGGCGCAGTGCCACGTGGCCCGCCAGGGACAGCAATCGAGTCAGTACACCTGAGGGACAGGTGAACTCCTTGTTCTGGCTGAGAGGGAGGTCCTGGCCTTGACTTGGCTCTGTTTGACCTTCACCTTCAGTGTGATCTTCAACTTCATTTTCACCTTCACCTTTGCCCTCAGTATGATCTTCAATTTTCTCTTCAACTAAAATGAAATTGAAAACCCTTGGGTTTACTTCAGTCAATGTTTTCAGGATTTCTGTGTAAGAAGTGTTGCCAGTGCTAGAGGCACTCTTTGTTATTTCATCTAAAAGTAGGATAATATTAAAAAACAGCCCCAAAAGGGAGGCCTAGATCAATGAAATTTTTGGCTCCCAGAGATTCGGAAATCTGCCAATAGTAAGAAAAGTCTCATCCCTGTATCACATCTTACAGAAGGATGACATAAAAAAAAAAAATAAATAAATAAATAAATAAATAAAATAAAAATAAAAACACTTCCACAAGAGAGGCCTAGATCCAAGAATATGCAGTGGAAATCCAATGCACTCCTCACCCTTGTTCTCCTCTGACGCCATCTTGTTGTTCGTCTGGTTCATCTTCATGACCACATCTGCCAGCCTCTTTATGAGAGTCCCACAAATGGCGTCTGGGTGCTCGGCCAGTTTGTAGGTCGTGTTCACGGCCTGCTCCGCCATTGGGATCCAGTAGCAGTCCTCCAGCTTGGTCACGCCTGGATCGCAGAAATGTTCCATGTTAATACTGTGAGCTTCCCCATGACTGCCACATTCAATATGTGCGCATTTAGAGATATCACCAAAAAATGCATTACATATAACTTAATTGTAACTCTTAGTTGACATACATTATTTTATCAAACATTGTTCAATTTGTCTCAATTTATGTTAAACATAATGATGTACTGTAACTAAGAAAGAGGTAGGGAAAGCCCCTACCATTGACAATGATGTCTGCCAGTCTCTGGAATATGGCATGCTGCTGGGGAAACCTGAAAGGTTCTGCAGCGGCCTGCCCTGGCTTGGTCTAAAAGGAGAATGGCTCATATATTTGAATAGGCATATTTTTAAGCTGTTACAAGGAAATTATACACAAAGATGACCACTTTTAGAACACCATTACAATTTAAGTTTCTTTTGTTGTTTTCATGAAAACACATGCATGTTAACACATGTATGCACACACACCAGGTCACGCACATACATGCACAGACAATGCCACACACATATATATATAGACAAGAACAAAAACACACACTCACACACAGACAATACCATATAACACACACACACACACACAGACAATACCATATAACACACACACACACACACACACACACACACAGACAATACCATATAACACACACACACAGACAATACCATATAACACACACACACACTCACACACACACACACACACACACACACAGACAATACCATATATACATCTGTGCACAGAAAAAAAGCACACACACACACACACACAAGCACACATAAGCATACCACATCACACACAGGCAGACAATACCATACACTAACACACAAACATACCACAGCACCACATACAATACCACAAACATGCAGACACAATAACACCCACATGCTAGCCAGACCACACACTCATATAAATGGCCAACGCACGCTCACACAACCCACACGCATGCAACTTCAAACAAAATCCTTATCTAAAGTCACACACTTCCTTGGCTTCATCTGAAATTTAAAAAAAAAAAAAAAAAAAAAAATGCCAGCCGCCCCCAGTATACCCACCTTGTTGTGTGCTGCTATTTTCTGCAGTGCCAGGCAGGTGTCCCTGACCAGCTGGAAGTCCTCCTCTGCCCTGGGTCCCAGCCCCTCCTTCAGCAGCACCTCCACATTACAGTGGATGATGTCCACCTGGGCCCTGGAGGTGTGGAAAATGTCAGAAAACAAATATCAGAAAACAAGTATTAGAAAATATGAGAAAATAGTATAAGCCACAGTTCTAAAAAGCTGCCAAACTGTCCGTATCATTGTAGATGGTAGATAAATTGAACTCTATTCTAAGGGAAAATAAATAAATTAATTAATAGTCAAATAAATAAATAATTAGATAAATAAACAAACCAATAAATAACTAAGCGAATAAAAATTATTCTTAAAAATTTTACCAAGAAAAGGTTTTTATTTTCCCTAAGGATGGTAAAAAAATATGCTAAATGGCTGACTGTACCCTAACGGAAGCCATGCCCATCCATCATAAAAGACTATAATGGGGAGATGGCCTTCTCATGAGAACCAAACCCCAACAGGTGCCATGCACAGTGGCTGTATCTAACCACCCATTACAACACACTATAAAGAAGGCTGGGGGAAGGGGAAGGGGAAGATTACTGTCAAATGAACCCCAAAAAATCATAGGGGGGAACCTACCCAGCAGCCATCCCCAGCAGGACCAGAGCCAGCCTGCTCTCCTCGGCTGTGGTCCCCTGGATCTTCAGGGTGAACTTCTCCCACAACATCTGGATAACACCGTGGCCTAGGTCCTCCGACTTGACAAACTCCGCAATCTGAAATTGTGAAGTACTCCAGATATTATACACAAACACACACATGCAGAACACGCTTGTATTGCACCATGTCCTGTGTCCACAGATTTTTACAATCTCTGAAGAACTGAAATATTAAGTAGTGACGCTAGGATTTCCTATAACAAATCTGAGATAATTTTTTTACTGGGACAACAGAATTACAAAAAACAAATTGAAGAGATAATACCCACAGAAGGAGCACATTTTAAACAAAAAATTTTAATATTTAAGCTTTCCTACCAGCTCCTCTAGGGAGGTGAGATCTCCAACACTTGCTCCCTGACACAGAGCCACCAGGTTGTTAACAATGGCCAGGGACTTGGCTCTGAAATAAAAATAAAACACTCTGCATTTGTAACGTGCCAATAAGCATGAGTATCACGTGGGCATGGGTAATAGCACTGGTAAAATTTACCAGTAAAAATTTAAGCCAATTCTGTGAAATTTTGAAAAAAAAAAAAAAAATTGTCCTGTAATTGGCCTCTGTTTCTGTTTTGGGGCAGTGGATTCTTAGACCATTTGGTGGTCTGATTTTAATAGAAATGCAGAAGTTCTTTTGTTAAAAACTTGAAAAAAATTTATTCAGCCAATTTTTGATGGCCCCATTTCCTGATGAGGTTTCACTGTAAGCAGATAAAAAGACGGTTAACAAATAACTTAGAAAAAAAACACAATTCCACATGTTGATAATTCACCCAGACATGCTTTTGGGCTGTGAGAAAAAGTAGAAAAAAAAATGGCTCAGTGACTAGACTCACCCTTTGTGACCAGGGGTCTGGGGACCATTTTAGGCAAAAAAAAAAAAATTTTTTTTTAATTTTAATCAGGAAAAAAAATGTCTGTGTACCTCTGATTTCCCCCCTGAGGTCTGAGGTAGAGTCTCTTGTATGCATCCACCACACCTTCCTTGATACCAGCCTCCTTAGACCAGACCAGGGCCAACATGCGGCGAATACCTGGAATATGAATTTAAAGTCATTATCCAGGGGCGGATTTAGGCCGTCTTCTGGGTCTTCCTGAAGACGGTCAGATTTTCAAGTTTACACTGACGGGTATTTAATTTTTTTCTGTCAGAAGATGGTCAAAAATGAGGATGGATCAACAAAGATACTTTGGAAGACTGTCAGAAAATAGCTCTGGATCCATCCCTGTTATCATCATCATTATCATCATCTTTCCCCAGGATATGGGGTACAAGGAGTCAAAAATGTTACAGGTAATTTGGTAATAGATCTTCACCAAAGCTTTCTTACCCGTCATGGCATTACTGACTCCAAACTCAAACCCAGTGACAAAAAACTCAATAGCTTCCATGACGTCGGTGACATTTTTGGAGCCCAGCAGTTGACAGATGACGGGGGTGGCCGTCTGGATCTGTGACACAAATGTCATGGTGTCCTGGAAGAGGAAACAAGGTGTTGACATCTGTGACAGCAAACAAATGGCAAGACTTAAACATGATTTTAAGAGGCATCTTGAATGACTTTTTGAAACCTAGATTTTCCAGTTTTTTTTTTTTTTTTTTTTTTTTTTTGACAAGATAATTTGTAGAGTAGACACTTTACACAATTTTTACAAATTTTTTATTCATTTGCGTAAACTTACAATAGTGCTAAGATGTAAGACAAGTAATTCTAAGTACAATGTACAAATTCTAAAACTTTGGGGAGTTAAATCTTCGTCAGAATTTTTTTCTGAGAGCTAAGCGTCCTTCTTAAATTTGTCTAAGATAACCCTACCAGGATCTGTTTTGTTGACACCACAGTGTCTTACGTATTGATCTTGACCTACTATTAATTTGACCTTCAATGACTTCAATAACTGAAACTTTTGCTTATGTACCTTGAGATACTGTACCAAGACCTGTTGCTTGGAGACCTCGTTGACGATGGCCGTCTCTGGCGCTTCTTGCTGCTCCTGGGCAGCTTCAGTGACCCTGGCTAGAGCAGCAACTGTGCTTTCATCTTCGCCTGGAGGACAAATAAAAAAGTGCTTTTTTCTTTTGTACAATCCCAGAAAGAATTTTGAATCAAAATCTGGACATACAATCATTTAAGAGACATAAATATCATTTGTATAATCATCTAAAGATAAATATTTTTGTTTAAAAGACTGCTTATAAACATAAGTTGAAAACTGCAAAAACAGAAAAGAAAAAAAAACTTTAATGACAAGATCATATCCAAAAGAGCAGTAAAACACATTCAGAGGATCAAAATTATAATAATTTGTCAACATATTTATCCACTTCAGAGGATGTAAAAACAAAACACACACCTATGAACAACATCTAAAAAGCTCTCAGTTAATGTAAAGAAAATATGCTGTTTCTTTCTATCAAGCAGGACACAAAACATCCAAGATACATATAGTGACAAATCAGTACACTTACTAATGAACACAGCTTGTAAACATTTCAATAATTTTGACTTCTGAACTTCTACTTCATCCTCTTCTTGTTCATCTTTCTCTTCATCTCTTCTGTAAAATAATAATTACATAGATTACAAGTAACCTGGAAGTTTTCAAATGTTACACACGCGCGTGCGCATACAATAAAAAGAATCACATACATAACTACAACAGCTGTTTAGTCTGATACAAGGTTAAACATAATAAATAAATAAATAAACAAACATATCATATCATACTTTCTACACAGTTCAATAACAGTCCAAATCAAAATTCTATCAGAAAGCTACGATGATACAAAGAAAACATCTCGTTCAATCAATTGTCTTGTTTCCATTCAGCATCATGGAGATCTTACCCTTCTTCTTCTATAAGAAACAATTCATAAGTGGGCCAGGCTTCCAGGGCAACCTGCAGTAGACGAACAGCCTTTTCTGCTTCCTGGGCCTTTATATGACTGTGAATCCTTTCCACTACACTGCAAATTTTTGAAAAAAAAAAAAAATCAATTTAAACAACCTTTTTATACCAGAAAAATCCTAGTACAGCAAAATATTCTCCTCCTTTTTAGCAAAATTGAAAAAAAAAATTGAATGAAAAAATTCATTACAGATAAATAAAACATAAAACAAAGAATGTACATCAGCAAATCAACAAACTTCAAATAAAAACCTTTCAATTGTTTCGCTTTCTTCAATCAGCATTTCTTCTTCAATGTTCTCTTCTTCCTCATCTCCATCTTTGGGCTGCTCCAACACCTTAACAATGGCCGCCATCAGCTCTGGCTCCATGGTCTTCCACCCAGCCAGAGGATCTTCCGCTTCTCCTGTCAACAAAATGTTAGAACACATTTTTGGTTTTTATCAAAATACATACTACTTCTATCTAATCAACGCTTTTGTAAAGATATCAAGATGCAAACAGCCAAATGTTCAAATTCTTTCTTCAGAACTTGGGAACCAAGTTAAATTTTTGGCATGACTTTCGCAACAAGAAAAAATTCCAGAAAAAAATGGCTAAAGAAAATAAAAACAAACCTACTATTTTTGTTACTCAGCTTGAGAATATGGAACAAGAAATGAAAATTATTTCATGGAAAACATGAGTGAACATTCCATGTACACACCAGATTCTTCCAGTGTCTCGGGCATCATTTCCTTCAATTTGTCTCTTTCCTTCTCATAATTCTCCTTCAGATCTTCTACAGACAACTAGACAAAAACACAAAATGGCATTTACAAAACAGTAACAGCCAAAAAAACATAAAAAAGTAAATGAACAAATTCTTATTTTAAAAATATAAAGAGGTTTTAGATTTAAAGTCAAATAAAACAACTTTTTTGCAGCAAAGTAGTTGATCCAGAAAAAAACCTAAAATAAAGCAGCCTTTGTAATTGTTTACATTTTTCTGATACAAAGGTACAATACATTCATTTAAATGGACTACCACTAATTGTCACGGAGTCAAAAGAAACCAATATTTTATTCTATTTTATCTATTTATTTATTTATTCATTTATTTATTTACTTCATTATAATTTTTTTTTGTACAACCAGGGCCCAGGCTTTACCCCCAATATACTAACCTTAGCAGCAAAGGGGTTACTCCTCAGTAAAGCAGTGATCAGCTGTACAGCATATTTACGCACTTGGCTGGACCGATCCTGAAGCCTCCCTATCACAAGATCCACCAGGTGGTGCTGCCGAGGCAGAGGGAGGGCCTTCTCGTTCACGACAGTCAGCCAAACCTGAAGGACTTTGCTACGGACGAATGCATGGACGTCATGGATATGGTCCTGTTAAAACATTTTCAAATTTTTTTAAATTTTATAATTATAAAACAAGAAAATTGCACTTTCAAAACCTGACAAATTCAATCATTTGCAAATTACACACAACTAAGCACATTAAGACATAATTAACTTCAGAACAGTGCTTAAGCTTATTGTCTTTGTCTTAAAATTTGGCACTATTTTCGAAATCAAAATTAAGCTGCCAAAAAGTAGTTTTTTTGGGCAACCATCAAATTTGCACTGCTGCTATTTATAACCCCCCCCCCCCTCCACCCCCTAAGAATAAAAATAAAACAAAAAAATTTATTATATCAAACCAAATTCAAACTCACTTCCAACTTATCCAGAAACTGGTCCCTAGTGTTTTTCAAGTTGGCATCCAGGTCTTCTTTGCTGAGTACCTTCACTAAGATCTCCCCAAGTACTCCCAGTACCCCGTTACGCATGGAGTAGGACTGGAAGATAACAGATTTTAGTACAAAGACAGAAAATAACAGAATTTACACATCTGTTTTATTTTCTTTTTTCTCAGTATTTGTTGACAGTATTTTTTGAAGTGGCATATCTAGCTTCTAGATGAGAGTAAAATTCTGATATACTGCCTACTAGTACTTTTCATAAAATTAAACAAGATTATTTTTTCTGTACAAAGATTGCACAGTGATTTTTTTTTCTTCAAAACTAAATTCTCTGGCTATAAATTGAAAAAGAAAATCATTGCTTACAGCTGATTACACATTTAGGGCAAAAGACCTGATATTCTTGCGTTAAAATTTCTTCCCCATGTGAGTGCTAAAAAAAAGTTGAGATTGGGCAAAAAACTCACCTCCCCATCCAACAGAGGTATAAGCACGCTAATATTGGGCAGCATAACTTCTGGGATCCTCTCTGCTAGCTCCACCATGAAAGCTGCATAAGCCCGCGTCCCGGAGTTGTCCCGAGCCAGGTCCCGGGGGTCCATCTTGCCAAGCTCCCTGGGGTCAGATGAGTGAAAAAAATTGAATGAAACAAAATCAATACCAAAGTTATTTGAACTAAAATAAACATATCAAAGCAACTATCAATTCATCACAAACCATCATCAAAACTGTTAATCAAAAGACTTATGATCCAATTTTAGAAATATGAATGAGGATCTATGCCTCAAACATTGTGAAATAATGTGGATGCATGTGTGTGTGTCTAAGTTTATGCATGAGCACACAACTTTTACCTGTTAATTTCACCTACCATCTCCCTTCAACCCCAATAATGTCAGATACCCCAATACACACCCACCCTTACCTCATGATCTCACCCACCACCCCCTTTAACCCCAGCTCCGTCACAAAGAGCTCCAGACCCTGGGCTAGGGGGCTGGACAGGTGCTCGAAGTGCTGTAACAGCTGAATGATCTTCAAGCTGGCCCCTGAAACAGAACCACAGGCATATTACTACAATACAGGAGCCATTGAAATGCGATTGCACAAACAACAATGTAGCTTAAATCTTCATCACCTTGCCTTTTCAAAATTGTAAAAATATTTTGGCTACAAGATACTGTTTTTTATGTGTTCTCTCTCTCTCTCTTTTTTTTTTTTTTTTGCAAACAACAGGAGCAAACGAGCGAGAGAGAGAGAGAGAGAGAGAGAAAGAGAGGGGGGGGGGGATTTGGTTAATTCTCTCGATAATGGCCAAATACATTGATCAGAGGGGCCTAAGTGTACTCCCAACAACAACNTTTGTTCTCTCTCTTCTCTCTTTCTTTTTTTTTTTTTTTGCAAACAACAGGAGCAAACGAGCGAGAGAGAGAGAGAGAGAGAGAGAAAGAGAGGGGGGGGGGATTTGGTTAATTCTCTCGATAATGGCCAAATACATTGATCAGAGGGGCCTAAGTGTACTCCCAACAACAACAAGTTCAAAATCCTAATCCATTCTTACACACAATCTACTCACCAAGACCATGATTATATTTCTTGACCATGGTCCCCAGGAGGTGGAAGATGGCGTCTTTGGAGACTCTGTTCTTGGTGACACTGGGGTTCTCCAGCAGCTTGTAGCAGCAGCAGGTGACCAGGCTGGAAGGGAAGAAGAGTCATCTTGAGAAATCACAGGGAACAAGACAGTAAAAGTCCAGGGCCCAGGGATCCTAATGCAGAGCACTAGTTACCCTATGAATAAACCCCCAATCCCTGTGAAATGAAGAGCCTCATTAGCCATTAGCATAATCAGATATGATGAGTATCTTACTTCACAAACTCCTCCTCTGCCACAGGCGGGTCCCACAATCTGTTCAGGTTCAGCTGCAGCACCTGGAGCAGCGTCTGCACACTCTTCTCACGCTCCGCCTCCCAGTCCCAACCTGTCAGTACTTCCTTCTTCTTTGCCTTGCCACGCCCCTAGTGGGAGGAGTTAGCATACATTTGCATAATTATTTCATTCAAGTATCGAATGATGCACAGTTGTGACCTTATGGATCATATATTCAGAAGACATCTCTATTAGTTAGACCAAGTATATCGAACCATAAATGCTTATATAATAATAAAATTTGTTTAAAAAAAAAAAAGAAAGATGTTTGAAAATTTTTTATTTTGCTAATTCAGAAGTTACAGAACAAAATTTTGATTTGGGTGAATTGAAGTTGGCTAACATACACATTTGTACGTAATTATGTGCCGCCAACACATGCATGCACACTGGCATACATACACAACCAACTCAAATAAAAATGTGTGAGCCAAAACGTAAATATATTAATATACTAGTAAGCACTTTCTCCAACTTCTCTTTCTCTCTGTCTCTTTCTCTCTCTCTCTCTCTCTCTCTCTCACACACACACACACACACACACACACACACACCACACACACACACCACCACCCCCCCCCCAGGGGTCGAAATGTTTAGAAAATCATACTTTCCCTGTCGGGAAAGTGACTTTGTACATTACTTTCCCTGCAAGAAAGTAGCTTTCCCTGACAACAAAACAATGAAATCCAATTTCCCTGAAATTAAATTAGTTTATTTAAATATGATGATGAATTATAAAGGAAAGAACATATCTTTGAGAAATTGTTTATTGTTATGAAATAAACAAACTTGGCATCCACATATAGGGTTTTATAACAACTGGGTATATTTGTCAACATTAATGTGACTGAAATCCAAGTACCAATTACATATGCTGCATCTGACTGGAAGGACCATCACAATGGCCAAGAGAGCACAAATATTAGGGTAAATGTCTTTTAGTACAGTCAGCATTCCGCTTAAAAAGGCAACTATGTCCTGGCCCTTTTCATGAAGTTACTGAGGCCATTCAGCCTGGCACATGTTTGTTGTAAAGCCAGAGTTATCCAGTGTCCTTCTAACATGTTCTGAAAGCCTTAAAATTGTCTCATCTCCATACTCACCACTGTCTATATTCTCCATGCGTCCACCTTTGGCAGCTAAAAAGTAAGTATTAATGGTAAGTGATTAATTGAGATTTTATTACAATTGTATACAGTTACAGAGAAACTACTGGAAACTTCACTAGAATGGTAAAGTGAATACTTGACTATGAACTGAAGGCAGACTCTAAACATGTCAATTATCATGTAATCATGGTCAATCCAATAAGCATTCTAGTTATTTCTAAGGTGCACAATGATTAATTTCATTTGAAACTTGGGGGATTTTCTTAATGGTAGACAACTTTACACCACTTAGAAAAGAGGAAGTTGAAGAAGTGCAGTGAAATCTTGATGTTAAAAACTCCGTTTTCAGAAGTAAAGGGGATAAAGATATTAGGTCCTTAATTATATAGGCTAGAATAACCCATGACATCTTTTAAAAGGTCATCAGTTTGGTGGGAGTTCAATGAAAAACAAATCAATCACTTTTCAAGCAAACTAAATAGGCCCAGTTGGTGCTCTTGAGCAGAGCGAAAAATTCAAGGGTAGGAAAAACTTGGTCTGTGAAAAGGCCGATTTATTTTTCAATACATCATGTCATCAGCAAAGAGATAGAGGTAGGGCAATTTTAGTGTTTACTACTTAACAGAAAAGTAAAAACGTCTTGTTTATCATTAAATTTACAATTCATTTAGATATGAAACTTGTTAGGCATTATTATTATTTACGACGTACCTGCATCGTCGCCATGTGCACCTGCTTCACCCTCATTTCTTATTGGTCTTGAAGTTTACGTGTCTTGTTTAGCGAGTTTGCTTAGTTTTTCCCGTGCTTTCGGCTTTGATTTTCCACTCGAGGAACTCATGTTCAAAGAGATTCATTTTCTGAACATTAACCTCCGTCAGACTTGAGCCCGACTTACGCGCGCAACCCGCATCTTGCATCAGCTGATCGTGCATAAATGGCTGACTGATATTCGTTCCCCGTACTACGCTCTCTAGTGCCCATTATTTGTGTAGGCTTGGACGCTGTGTTAACTTTGTTCCCGCACATTAATTTGTTTCAGTGAGCTGCGTAGGTTTGTACCTTTGTATGTTATACATGCTAGCTGCGCAGACTTTATCCTTTCTATGTCAATCATTGTGTAAATGGGATAGGGAACGAGTCAGATACACCACCATGGGACGATCGATTTTGATTGACAACTCTCTCGAAATTCAAAAGGAGGCCCCGTAACAAATTCTAGCTAGTCACGTGAGTGCGTCCTTAGTTTCAGAGTGAGTACTTACGTCTAGCTTACTTGCGTTGTGGAAAATGGTTAAGTAATTGACCGCTTGTATCAGCACAACTTAGTGCCAGGAAATGAATTTCATGTAACAGTTCTTCGGGAAAGCGACCTCTAAGCGCAGTTTCCCCGAGAGGTTTTTGCATTTCCCGGGCATTTTCAGTGATTTACCGGACGGGAAAGTAAGATATGACATAGATTTCCCGAGCTCGCAATAGCTTTCCCTCGGGAAAGCAGGAAAGCAACATTTCGACCCCTGCGCGCGCGCGCGCGCGCACACACACACACACACACACACACACACACACCTTTGTTGCAGCGTTCACGCTAGGTTTGGTTGCCTCAGCCTCAAAACTCTCCACAAACTGGCACAGCAGGTATGTGGTCATCTTCAGGATGTTCAAGTGGTCCAAGCGGTCAGTACTGTCCAGTTCTCCATCCAGGACAGCTGGAAGTTGACTGCAGTGTGCTGTCATCACTGGAGAAGATGAGGCAAAAAATAATAGAAGTTACAAGTAGGTTTTCTATTCATCTTGGAATTGCAATAAAAATGGCATTTTTTGAGTGAATGGAAAATGACTGACAAAATTTTGCAACTGATTGTTGTATCATTTTCAAATGTTAACCACTTATATCTGAAGATTTCTTTAATCCTTTTTTTGTTTTCATTTCCATTTTATTCCACTGATGTTCTAAGAAGATTATGAAACTTATTATGCAACATAATGATATCCATGAAATATAACTAGTAACCATTTTGCCATAAATAGTTAGACAAGAGCTCAACTTCAACAGAAATACATGTCATTCTTATGAGAATTAGATGGAGACAAAATGACATATTAAAAAAAAATAAAAAATCCCAAACCTTTCAGTAAAAGTTCCCACGTTTCTTCCCTCAGTCCAAACTCAATGTTATGCTGATGTCTGTCAATAAAAAATTTAAAATCTTTACAGCAATAAGGAAATCAGGGCTCAACATAAATTTTTTAACCAGGTTGCCCCAGGGCAACCTGCCAGATATTTTTACTTGCCCTTCCTCTGCCTCAACTTGCCCATTATTAGTGAAAAATTTTAAACCACTCGATATGCAGTTTTTTTCATTTGAAGCATTTAATTTTATTGATTTATAAAAAAAATCAATTGTGCCATCTTTGAGTTATTTTCTCCATGAGCAGGTTGATTGATGGAATGTCCAATTTTTGTAATGCACATCTCTAAAATTTCAAATTTGTCACAGATTCTAAACAAAAGAAAGAAGGCACACCTCCACTATGATGTAGCATAAAATTAGGATATCTATAAGAATACAAGTGCATAAATGTTGCAATGCCCACACTCCTCAGGAAGGTGACTGATAGACATAACATTGTTACTTATAAAATATGCTCTTACAAGAACCAACTCTTTTACATTTACTCATCAAGTATAGATAGGTCGGTCACTATCCCCAACTTCTTTTTTTTTTATTCTATTTATAAAAAATAAAACATTTCTTTATTTCTGCAGAACAGTTGATAAAATCAATAGAAAAGAAACAATACTTTGAAACTTCAAAAATTAATCTTAATATAATTCACTTTAATATATAGTAGGATTGCCTTGACAACACCAAATTACACAAATGATAATTTGATAGTAGAATCTAAAATGCCACTGATTACTTCATAGCACTTTTCTGCACTCAATCAAGGTGCACTTTGGTGCATTTTAGGCTATTTTTCAACATTTTATGTGGCACAGTGACATAATTGTCTTGTTTCATATGTCTTGAGGAGTAAATGAAGTTAAGCTAAGCATGATAAAAAAATTCATTAATAAAGAACTGCATACTTAGCACCTACAATTGCTAGAATGAGGATCCCCCTTCTCCATGGCTGTTTAGAATTGAAATTTTTGAAGCCAAGTATTGAATTGGTGGCATTTTAACTAAGAAAACTGTGGTATCAACATAGCTCATCAGTGAATAAACAGTAAAGCCAATGATTTAAAATGTAGAGGAGATCAAAACATACTCCTAGACAGACTTCCACATTCATTAAAGTGTCAAAAAAACTAGGTCAACAAAGCGCTCTGAAATGCTTGCGACAGACCATGATCGGTGCCACACTGTCTGGATACTGACAAGTGCTCACTCGCTCCCTCAAACAAGTATTTGTGTAGTACACTGCTTTTATTAGGTGGGTTCAAAAAGTTAACATATTTATCCAACTTCATCAATGAAAATGTCCACACTTTAAGGAAGCTTACTCTTCCTCCTGTTTCTCTCTGAAATTGTTGCTAAATATATAAACTATAAGCATTTCAAGTCCGGGAAATCTCTATCAGTTACAGAAGCATGCAGTTCAGCTGTCTGCTAACTGGTCAAAACCACCGCAAGCTGGTCCCTGCAAACTCTCACTTAGCAACAGTGTGACTGCTTGTTTTCCACTTCTTTCGTGGTTAAAGCTTGGAAATTATATGCTTCTAAATATTTCCCAACCAATACAAAAAGTGCCAAATAAATGTGAGAGAGTGCCTTCTTAACTTTAATCACGTGGCTACATTTTTCCAAGAACAACTTGCCTCGTTTTAGTTTGACTAAATACTTCAAATTATAGAATATGACAGCACTCTGAAAACGAGGCACTGCTGACGGAGATAGTGACTGCCAGTTATTTTTAGAAATCTTACATTGACGTATGTTACAGTTTGTGACGTTATTGTGCAAAAAGGGAAAACGTGATCTTTTAACATCAGATCTAACATTGTACTGACAAAAGGAAAAAAATTCACTTGCCCGCCGGGCAACTGGACGTAAAATTTACTTGTCCGACGGCAGATTTTAGTTGCCCCGGGCAAGCGGACAACCGTTTGTGTTGAGCCCTGGGAAAAAGCTTTTTTTAAATGTCTCAGGCATAGCATCATGTAAGATAATAAATCTGTGTCAAAATTTATTTTTCACACAATATTACAAGTGCCAGTCCAAAATCACACAATATTACAAGTGCCAGTCCAAAATCACACAATATTACAAGTGCCAGTCCAAAATCAAATTTCCAATGTAAACAGCAGCTTATAAAACATCCAACACAATAGCAGATTTGCTGATTACAAGCACAACAAGCCTGTGCATCTTAATATTTCGTATTCATTTTATATTTCATATTTTATATATATCACATATTAAAATGTTGAAAACAAATATTAAAGCAACTTACGTAAGAACACTGAAAAGTGAATCAAAGGCCTCTAACATGGCTCTTGGTCCCTTGGCTCTGAAAGCACTTCTACATTCTGAAACAGAGCACATCCATCAGGACTTGAGTGACTGGAACGTCAAATTACAAAACACACTTGCCAAACATTAATATACCATAAAATTGGCTTTTCATGGCCTCTTTGTAAGGCTGACTGAAGGAATGTTTAGTGGTAAGAATTGTGCGTGTGCACCCGCATGCACATGTGTATGCATGTATTCATGTTTGGGCACGTGACAATGTGTGTGAACGCATGTGTGAGTGAGAGAGAGATACCACGGTAATGTTTGTAATTGTTTATTTCTGTAAAATTTTTTTTTTAATCAGATAATTAAGATTACCCTGCAGCTTGCCCGGCAGCTGCCTGATACTGTAGACTTCATCTACCACATACTGGCTGGCACCTGTTCTGTTCAACAAGTCATCTTTACACAGTGGCAAGGTGAAATCAAAACTCATCTTGGATGAAGGCAGCTTCTGAAAAAATAAAAACCATATTCAGACAACTGATTATTATTTAATTATATATGTAGGCAGCAATGAGTATTCCAAACGTAAAAAAAAAATCTATTCTCCTTGCCATTTTGGCAATGGGGGTCTAAATGTCGGCTAGTGTTATATAAAATTAAAATGGTTTTAGTAGTCTAGTGCCTTTTTTAGTATGTGAGCAACTGCCATGGGCAAGGGACCTATGGTTTTGACTGAAAATTTTCACAAACTGTACCTTAAGTAATCAATTTGTTTGTTTAAAGGGAAAGCAACCCTTGAATTCAGTGAACTTGCTGTAAAATGAGTTAAGACTCCCCCCTCCCCCGCTCTTATTTGGTGAGACGCGCCTGGCATTCTCCGAGGACTTTATGGAAAATTAAAGAGTGAATAACTGCTAAGTAGTGCTTAACCTAGGAATATTGGAGTCAAGTCTAGCCTAGAGAGAGAGTGAAACAATCGTAACCAATCTATTGCCACTACCAAACCTCCCTAGCCCTAGGAAATAACAAACACTAAAAATAGCAAACTGTAATAAGTCACTTCGCAATGATTTCCGATTAAAGACGATGATTGTGTCCGATGACATATATTTAGGAATATTTTTCAATTCTGAATATGGCATATAACATGGACAGTACAGCAGTATTTACCTTTCACAGGAGTAAATCCCTGTTTAAACCTTCCGAAATGGCCGCCTATTTTCGAATGGCCTATTTGATTTATTTTGACCAATCAAAATCGCGTTCTGACAGCGGCCCTTATTTTCTGCACGGTGTGCGTGATTCAGTAAGATCTTTTATTTTCATTTCGTTGTTATTAAAATATTTGATTTTGTGTAGCATATATGATTAGTAATATAGTATACTAGCCGATGTTTTGTATAAACCATATACCAACATTTGATGTTAAAAACCAACGTAATAACCGTATAATTTGCACAATATTTGTCTCTTCATTATCGACAAAGACAAATCACACGACGTATTTTCATTTAATGCTGAAAACTTCCTGCCCGCCATCTTGCTCAAAAGATGTGCGAGGGTATTTGAAAATCATGTGGGAAAACTCGCAAAATATTCGCCTTTTATTTATATCCACGTCTTTATTTCTTGGGGGATATATTTTAGGACTACATTACACTGTTGTTTTGTGTATAGTATGCCTAATCGGAGCTGTTGCAGTGAAGATCTGGAAAGTCCACCGCGGTTGTCTGCTCGAAGTAAGTATGCCTTTCATTGCTGTGGAAATGAAGCAGACCTTGTCAGTGTCAAATGTTACAGTACGGTTTCATCAAAATTACACTGCAAAATTAGTTGAATCAATTAAGTATTTTACCCTCAGAATTAGTGTAATGTTCATGTCACAGCATTATTGGGGCATTCATGTTATGTAGACCATGGAAGTTTATCCAGAGAAAATTTGAAAAATTGCCCTGTTGTCTGTCACTGTCAGCCAGGCTTTCTATTAAAATAATCTTTTGAATAATCAATCATTGACAATTTTTTCTATCAGGTTATACTGAAGCCAGCAGAAATGATGAATGGATTCAGCATCAACAAAATGCAACCGAGGTCTCAGACAGAAGGATTTCACAAACTCAAACACTCTTCACCAAAATCAAACTCAAAAATGAACTCTTCCTACAAAGAAAACAGCCACTTTTACAATTCAGATTTATCCCTGAACAATGGGTCCATGGGTCTGCAGTCTCCAATTAGGAGTAGGACCAATACCCCGAATTCAAGTTTTTTATCCTCGAGTTTTCTGAATGCAGTCCCGAGTAGCGGAAGTTTTGTCAGAAGGAAACTGGGACCAGAGGCGGGAAACCCACTTCCTCGAGTGACAAGGGTTCACCCTCATGTGGCAAGGTCAGGCAATAAATAAGAAGTTCCTATCTATTAATCTATCTATCCAGTCATCTAACTCTCTGTCTATCTATTTTATTTTATTTTGTTTTGTTTTATTATTATTTTTTTAATGGCAAGCCAGATACTGGATGAATTATAGAAGTCTTTGGTCACTTATGTCATAATTTCACATGGCCTTCAAGGCTTGAGAAAATATCATTCATCTATTAAAAAATGTGGACATTTTCTGTAACATTTACAGTGTTTGTTTCTCTGTCAGGTATTCTGCTTTTTTTTCTTTTGTTTTCACAAGTGAACAGATAACACTGTTTTCTGCAGTTGTGAAGATGAAAAACTTGAGAGAAATAATGTGTCAGATGTTTCTGAAAAGGGCTTACCATTACCTATGATGCATGTCGTTTGACCTTTTGGTCATTTTTCCACCTTTACACATAAGCCATTTGAAAAACCGAATTTTACCTGATTCTTATAATATGACTTAAATTCAATTCCACTTCAGTCCTGCTAGTGTTGACAGACCCAGTGTGACCGCACCCTATTCAGGGAGATCTACATTATTCGAGTCTGTATGTTCGCCGGTGCCGGAGACAACATACCCGGGGCTAGGTGTACCCACAGTGCATCTGAAGCCATATCAGAAGCCACTGTTAAACTTGAGCCGTGTAGCCGAGATGAATGAGAAGAGGTGCACTGTGAGGATAGCTAGCCCCAATCCCGGGGTTTCTCCATGGAGTCATTCTATGTAAGTTGGGGGGGGGGGGGGGGGG